AGACCTGTATGGCTGTGAATCTTAGGTCATGTGATGGAGACCCCAAGCAGCGCATTAGTGTTCGCTTGAGAGGTTCCATGTGAGAGCCGGTAATGTCGACTTTGGTCTTTTCCCGCTCCAATAAGCGCAAGAACGCGCGCCAGAAAGCTAGAGAATGGCCATATACAGGAGATGCTTGACACAACGCAGGCCATAAACTTGTCGTCAAGTCATCACTGTCGCCTTTACTGATGAGGGCCTGAAACCCGTTGCCGGTGGCAAATATGTCTACAGTTTGTCGGGGCTTTGCGCTGTCGGTGTCTAAGGCGTTCTTGAGTAGCTCTGCAAGGTCGGTCATTATTCCGTGGGTCTTATCGTTTCCTAGACGCAGCGTATCTACAGCGAAAAGCAAAGCATTGCAGTAAAATGTTTCGTAATCTGAATCGACATCGCCGCGTACAGACTCAAGAAGCTTGTCGAATGGTTCGTGTACGGTCACTTGCCATTGATCAGAAGCCTGTAGATCGGCTTTCGCCAGCGCGCTGTTGTCGTTGTTGTCGCGCTTGTAGTAAAGTCGAGGGAGAATGGCGCAAAATTGTGATCTGTGCTCGTGTGCCTTCTGCGCGATGAACCTCTTGAAATAAGGAAGTAGCAACGCCCTGAATCTCTCCACCCCTAGGTCAGCAAAAAGATTGCAGAAGGGTAAGAAGTATGATTCCCAGGGGCCGCGGGTAAGCCCTTCGAGCAATTTTTCGTATGGTGTCGCTGCGCCAAGAGGACAGTATTGGAACACAACAGAGATGACCGACAAGAGCTCCCACGCATCAACGGAATCGAGAACAGATGATTCCTTGGTTGAGTCCAGCAATTGACTGACCAAGCTCAGCGCGGGTTGCCAGTTATCGACACGATCACCTTGTCGCACGCCACAAGCGACTAGCAGCAGACGAGACGAAAGGCCCATGTAACGCGTATCGGAAGATGTCTTATCGATCTGTGCGAGAATCACTTCGAGGAGTGGCGCGAAGTTCTCCGCGTCCGTGTGGTGGATAGCAGCTGTAATGACGCCAGTCACCACGGGCTCCAGAGGCGGGATCCGGAGTTGGACGTCCTCTTCGTTGTATGTCTCTGCTAAGAGCTCCTGTAATATGGCCGTCGCGCTCGAGTGGAATCCGCGCTGTACGCCCTTGAGCGAGTCGGTCAACAGGTACATGAGACCCTGCTGGAACGCGTAGTCCTTGCCCGACTCTTGCTGGTCCTTCAGCTGGTCCGATATGTGCTTAATGATTGTCCTGAGGGGCATCTTGTCGCGGTGGTAGCCGGCGCCGGCTTTGCGGACGAGGAAGCTGAGCGATTCGGCGGCGAAACGGGAGACGAAGGCTTTCTGGCGCTCTTTTCCCAGCAGAGGCGACATGAGATCGAAGACCGGGCGCAGGTTGGGGACTAAGAGGCGCGAGAGGTACTTGAACAGCCATGCCAGACAGCCAAAAGCCCACTCTATGACCTCGACATCAGCATGTGTGGCTGCCAGATGCGACACCGTCGTGACTGCCTTTTCAAAGTACTTCTCGAACCGCTCGCCCATGTCGTGTGCCAGATGCGCCGTAAGACTTAGCAGCGGTTCTTGGCTGAACTTCTCGCCCTTCTCGATGTATTCTACGAGCAGCTCGAATATGCGGTCGCTGTGGTGGAGGACCTGGGGGAGGCTGTCGCATAGTGGCGCGACCTTGCGGGCGAAGGTGGTGAAGCCCTCGGACATGTTGAGCTCCCGCCACTCATTGAATGAGTCGCGGAAGTAGGAGAAGGTGGATTCGAGTTCGGCGTCGTCGAGGAAGGTGCTGCGACCGCGGCGGATGGGTTCGATCTTGAGCTGGGCAATGCGCTGGGTGAAGCCTTTGAAGACATGGTTGCGCGTCGATTCGGTGCCGCCCTTGACTCTTTTCTGGGGGCGCGCTGATTTGGCGACCTTGGATTTGGGCTTTGCAGCCGGCTTCGCGGTTTGGCCTCTGGACATGGCGGCCATGGTGTGGAGTTGTGGTGTTGAGAGCTGGTGTGGTTGCACCTTCTTCACTCGATGATGCTCCACTAGAATTTCCTGGCGCTAACAAAAAAGCTGGACCCTGGCACCACCGAGGCCTCCGACGCGCCAATCACCCATACTCAACACCACGCGTCGCCAACATCAACCTATCGAAACATTCGCCACAGGCTACAGCAGCTGTAGGAAATAACGCGACTATACTAAGCTTGTCAAGTAGCGAAGGTGCGCCTTTCATCGCCGTTACTTTTACCACCACATCGACAACCAGCTGCTTTCGTGGCTGCGTCATCAGCAATGGCCTCTAAAATGTAAGTGAGATGCGCTGTCATCATATTTGGCTGTTCTAACATGTGCAGTGTTGTTGTTGGCGCCGTGAACGGCCAATTCAAGACTGTCTTCCAGAAGCTGGGCGCTTTACACGCGAAGAACAACTTCGCCTTCGCCATTGTCGCAGGCGATCTCTTCGCCGGGTCAGTCGAAGGTGAAGGCACAGATGCAGGCGACGTGCAAGCGCTCATTGACGGCAACATCGACGTGCCATTGCCGACGTACTTTGCTCTTGGCAACCATCCCCTCCCACCAGCAGTCGTCCAAAAGTTGGAATCATCAAGTGACGAGCTATGCCACAATCTCTTCTTCCTCGGCAAGCGGACGACTATGAAGACATCGGAAGGTATTCGCATCGTTTCCCTAGGTGGACAGCTTGACCCCAACATTGTCGCCGGCCAATCTAAAGACAAGTACCCGCCCTTCTACAGCGAGACGGATGCGAAGGTATTACGAGGTGCAACCACAGCAGATATCCTCATCACCAACGAGTGGCCAGAGGGCATTCAGAAGCGTTCCAAAGTTGAGTTCAATCCTGAAGTAAAACCGACAGCGCAACAGTGTATCGCCGACCTGGACGTAATACTCAAGCCCAAATACCACTTCTCCACATCGGGCAGCAACTTCTACGAGCGAGAACCATTCTTCCATGCGCCTAGCGACGAAACCGACAACCTCTACCCTGTGACCCGATTCATCAGTCTGGCTTCGTTTGGCAACCCAAACAAGCAGAAATGGATATACGCCTTCTCTCTCGAGCCATTGGCCAGCCATCCAGTCTCGCCGCCAGCTGGCTCTACTGCTTGCCCTGTGACACTCTCTGAGAAGAAGCGAGTCGCACCGGAACATCGCGAACAGCATCTTGTCTACGATGATGGGAACCGCGGCCGGAGAGGTAACAAGAGGCGCAAGGGTGAATCCCGAGGGCCCATCACAGCCTCAGAGTGTTTCTTTTGTCTGGCAAACGAGAACATCGCGACCCATCTAGTGACTTCCATCGGCGAGAACTCTTACCTAACCACGGCCAAAGGGCCCTTGCCAACGTCGCAAACCTACCCAAAACTTGGCTTCCCCAGCCATATGCTCATCATCCCTTTCACACATCAGCCAACGCTCGGCTCTATGGAAGAAGAGGAACGTCACGCAACCTACGCAGAGATGCAACGCTATCGCCGCGCCATGAATAGCATGCTCAAGTCCGTTGCGGATACCGAATATGGCTCCGTCACGTGGGAAGCCAGCAAATCGAGCTTACCACACACTCATTGGCAGTATCTCCCAGTCAGCGCGGATCTCATCAGCAAAGGGCTTGTCGAGGCTGCTTTCAAGGCGCTAGCAGAAAACCTACATTGGCCAAAGTTTGAGAAACAAGATGTTCGCGATGGGTTCGAAGAAACCAGCGACTTCTTCAGAGTACTGGTGTGGAACCCGAAAGATGACCCTGAAAAGCAGACAAGCTACGTCATGCGATTTGATGAGAAGATCCGCTTCCACAACCAGTTCGGACGCGAAGTTTTGGCAAAACTGTTGAGGCTCGACAACCGCGTTGACTGGAAGAACTGCGGGCAAACACAGGCCCAGGAAGAGCAGGATGTTGAGAAATTCAAAGAAGCGTTCAAGGATTTCGATTTTGCTGCTTGATACCCTTAGTAACTGGCTTGCACATTCTACCCTTAAACCCAGAATCGACCACACAGGCACCTATCGACCATTGCGCCTACGAGTACGAGCCATCCAAGAGGAGGAGAGAAGACTCTGGCTATATCCTGCCTACCAACTTGGGCTCTGACCCCCCGCCTCTGCCATCGTACCCAAATAGCATGAATTTGTACGCATAAGTCTCGATTAATATGACAATGACCGACATAGACACCGGGGTACACCTGAGCGTTTTACGGCCTTTGTGATAATAATGTGGTTCTCACGTAACCTCCACTTCGGGATCGACTCATGAGCCAAGTCCACAAGGCCCGACGTCGCTGCGAACATACTCGAAACGGCAGTTCTGGCAGGAAGGTGTCCAACGCAGCACTAAAGATTGGCATACCAAGCTCCGGTCTCGCCAGGCTTATTCCCGAGCTGCCGAAATGTCTCATGTTCGTCGACACTCCTTGCGCAAATTGCATTGTTTCGAACAGCTTTCACTTCGCAGCATCAGCTCGAGAATCACAACTCGTGTATTCCAGGTTTTACGCCATTCACACAGCACTTCACCATTCCTGGCTTGGCACTTCCTCTTGAGGCTAACGGCTTTCTTCTTCCAGCCAAGACCGTCCCTTGGCCTCACGTGTCAGCTGAGATGGGCTAGCGCCTGGCTCTTCTCGGCGTTTCGGAAACGGAGGGCAGTTGCACCCGGCGTCGAAGAACAGCCGAGCCTTCTCTCGCTGAAAAATCTGCCGAGCCCCGCTGAAACTCATTTTCCAACTTCGCGACTGCGCGAGAGGCCCGGGACCGGAGGGCGCTCGCTCCGTGGTGCAGTCAAAAAAACGTTGCAGCGTAAAAGCAGACTGTGCCCGGGCCGTGACAGCAACGTCTAATGTCGAATTGTAGGGAAACCTGGTACGGACATGGGAGCTTTACTACAAAAATGAGATCAATGGCCACCTGTGGCATCAATTCGCACATCTAACCTTCCCTCACCACACTTCCCTTCATGTCTGCACGACCGTACCATTTGCGCACCAACAGGCTATCCAGTCCGCTTGGGACCGATGCCTTTCCCGTGGAATTCAGTTGGCAGCTAACCGCTAAGGAAGGCATTCATAATGTCACACAGTCGTCCTATGAACTTCAAGTCTCTACATCTCCAGCCTTCGAATCCGAGAACATCGTTTGGGACAGCGGGAAAACAGCCACAAGTAAGATTCCATCACCTACAGCCATCTACGGGGGCAACAGTGTGAAAAGTCGCACTCGGTATCATTGGCGCCTCCGCGTATGGGATCAATCCGACGAGCCTAGCGACGAGATCTGGGATACAGCGGAGAAAGCATGGTTCGAAACAGGGCTGGAGCCGTCCGACTGGAAAGCGTCCTGGATCAGCGCTCCTGTGATGACATCAACCGGTAATTCGATAAAAGATGGCAGAGTCATGTACCTCTCTAGCACCTTGCAGCTCGCGCAAACACCAGTCCGAGGACGAGCTTACGCAACAGCTTGCGGATGGTACAAGCTTTTCGTCAATGGAAACAACGTCACCGGTACGGCGTTGGTACCACGCTGGACGCCTTTTGATCAGTTCACCGAGTACCAGACTTACGATGTTGCGAAGTATCTGGAGGCTGGCGAGAATGTCATCAGCGTCGTTGTTGCGGATGGGCGATTCAGAGGTCAGATCGGCGTCACCGAAGGGCGCTGTCGTTACGGAGACCGGCTTTCTGCGCTTGTACAGCTTGAGGTGGATACAGATGACGGAGAAACTGTTACATTCTGTACCGACGAGACATGGCGGTGTCCAAAAGGCTCCATCCTTCGATCAGACCCCGTGTGGGGTGAACATACCGACTTCCGAATCGCTAACGAGGGGGTGGAGAAATGCGATACTGAGCCTCCGGATCGTGCCGAAAAGGTCTCGGTTTTGACGAAGAAGCTAATTGCAGAGGAGGTCGAACGCGTCGAGGAAGTCATGCGCTTGCCACCCAAGACCGTACTTCGTGCCCCGTCAGGCGCACAAATAGTCGACTTTGGACAAAACTTTGCCGGCATTATGGCGATCAAGCTGCGCGGTCAAACGGGTTCTAAAACCACCATGACCTATAGCGAGGTCCTGTCCAGCAATGGAGAGCTTGACATCAACTATCTGAAGCTCCCCATAGTTCCGCATATCGTACAACGGGACGTCGTAACCCTTGGAGACAACGAAGTTGACTTCCAGCCTTGGTTCGCCATCCATGGATTTCGCTACGCTGAAGTCCGAGGCTTGGACTACGACCTTAGTCCCTCTGACATCGAAGGAATTGTCCTAGCTTCCAATATACCAACCGCAGGGTCGTTCACATGCTCAGACGCCCGTCTGAACAAGCTTTACCAGAACATCGTTTGGACCACCCGAGGCAATTTCACGGACACGCCAACTGACTGTCCGACTCGAGAGCGAATGGGTTGGACTGGAGACATCCAGGTGTTTACGCCTACTGCAACCATGCTATTTGACTGTCAGACCTTCTTGCGTCGGTATATGCGTTGTCTAGCTGCGGAACAACTCGCCGACGGCAGTATCCCATCATACATCCCCAGCGCTGGTTCACAGTTCAGCAGCCAGCTTTCACTCACCACGAAGTTGATGTCAGGATCAACTGGATGGGGCGATGCTTCTACGATGGTGCCTTGGGCTCTGTACCAGCACTACAACGATAACGTAATCCTCTCGCGCCAGTACGACAGCATGAAGAGCTGGGTGAATAGCTTGGCCTATCGAGCACGAGACAAGATGAGCTGGAGAAGATGGTTCTGGATCAAACTCGGCGCTGGATGTGGCGACCTCGAGCAGTACATCTTGGACACCGGCTTCAGTTATGGTGAATGGCTCCGAGTCGGAAGCGGAGTGCCCACAATCATCAAAGACGTCTTATTTCCCAGCGCCGCTATTTCGACCGCTTATCTCGCCCACTCATCTCGTCTGCTCTCCAACATCGCCAAAATCCTTGGCAAACAGGATGACGCTGAACGTTATCTCAAAATCTCGGAAAAGACATGTGAAGCATGGCGCGCTGCTTTCGTCCGACAAAACGGTGCGCGCATCGCATCCGACTACCAAGACGACTACCTCCGCGCCCTAGCCTTCGACCTCATCTCACCAGAGCAAAAGCCCGCAGCTCTCGAACGCCTCGTAGGACTCATAGCACAAGCCGGCTACCACCTGAAAACCGGCTTCATGAGCACAGGGTTGCTCCTCCCCGTACTTGCCCAACACGGCAGAGCAGACATCGCATACCGCGTCCTAGTCCAAGACACAGTGCCCTCATGGCTCTACCCCATCACAAAAGACGCAACAACGCTCTGGGAGACATGGGAAGGCTACGACGGCAATGGCAACGCTAAGATGTCGCATAATCACTATGCGTTTGGTACTGTGGCGTCGTGGTTGCAGGAGAGTGTGGCGGGACTGAAGGCTGTTGAGCCTGGCTATAGGAAGATTAGGGTTGAGCCGTTGGTTGGGGGTGGGTTAGAGCATGCTGAGGCGACGCTGGAGACGCCGTTGGGATTTGCGAAGAGTGCTTGGAGAGTGGATGGGGAGAAGGGGGTTGTGAGGCTGGAGGTTGTGATTCCGCCTTGTGCGACGGCTGAGGTGGTGTTGGAGGGGGGGAAGGTTGAGAATGTAGGGTCTGGCACGTATCTTTTCGAGTATAAAGTGAATTCATAGCGGTCTGGCTTGAGTATAGGGCTCTCTGTACTCAGATGGGATCACGTGTATCCGAGGGGTTCCGGACGCCAAGACAGGGGCGCAAACCTCCGAAACTCAGTAATCACTCCCCCAAACCATCTCAATTCTTCTGCACCTCCATCCTCACGTTTACTATTCCTTATCACCCATTCGCTCTCCCTCGCAACCCCAAAAGGGATAACGCGCCGAACCGCAGGAAGCGCCGGTACGTTGTCGGAGGTTTCATATCGAGCCCCAATCAAGATGACGATCATCGCCCATGCCAATGCGCCCCGCCACCTATCACACCCCGCGATAAGAGCACCTGCGATCATCCGCGACTTTGCTTGCTACACAAGTCATCTTACCTCCTTCCAGTCAGGTCTACGCTACTATGCAGGTAGGGCGGCGCCGCGCTCCTTAGTAGGAAGGCAAACCACTCGTTGTGTGTAGCGGCCTTGTAAGCACGGCTGATCAGGTACACATCCCCAATGGGGTGGGTGATGGGCGATGTGTCGGTGACTTGGCCGTTACCTCCACCTGCCTCTTTCGGGGTCGTGAGAAGAGTAGCGCATTGGTATAGTATGCTGTGTGATGCGAAGACGGGGTGAGCGGTGCAAAAGCAAGGGCAAAGGGGTTCGGGAGGCGCGTGGTGCTTATCATTGGAAGAGACGATGTCCGAAGTGTAACGCACCGACTACGGCGACGGAGAGGTAGAGTATATAACCGCCTAGGAACCTGTGTTGTAACGAAGGACAAGTCAGAGATCATCAGGCAGGTCTACTTCGCAAGATAGCCTCTTCTCTCACAAAAGCAAAGCCGCCACCCTTCCATCCCATCACCATGAAGGCCTCCATCTTCGTCGCCGTGGCCTCAGCCGCCCTCGTCTCCGCTGCCCCAACACCAGCCGTCCTCGATGCTCGCGCTCCTCCCAACATCCCCAGCAAATCCGCAGCTACCACACAGCTCGCCGGTCTCACCGTCGCCGCCCAAGGCCCGCAAACTGGTTACTCCCGTGATCTTTTCCCTCACTGGATCACTCAATCTGGAGCCTGCAACACACGCGAGGAAGTCCTCAAGCGCGACGGCACAAATGTCGTTACCAGCAGTGCATGCGCAGCAACCTCTGGATCGTGGTTCAGCCCCTACGACGGCGCTACATGGACTGCAGCCAGCGACGTCGACATCGACCACATGGTGCCATTGAGCAATGCCTGGAAGGTGCGTTTCCCTCTCCTATCCCCTCATCCTCCCATCCTCCCCTCTCCAAACTCCACATACTGACTCCCACACAGTCCGGCGCAGCATCATGGACCACGGCCCGCCGTCAAGCATTCGCCAACGACCTCACAAACCCTCAGCTCCTCGCCGTAACCGACAACGTCAACCAAGCGAAGGGTGATAAGGGCCCTGAGGAGTGGAAGCCCCCGCTAACCAGCTACTACTGCACGTACAGCAAGATGTGGATTAAGGTCAAGAGCGTGTATGCGCTTACTATTACGAGTGCAGAGAAGAGTGCGCTTACTAGTATGTTGGCTACTTGCTCGTCGTAGAGAGATGTTGGAAAGAGTGAGGGGGGTTGTGTTTATACGAATTCATGTTTATATTTTCAGACTGCTTGATCTATGTTCTGCTGCTTGTGTGCTATGCTGAGGACGGGTCAAAGCACGTTGTGTAAACTTTGGAGTGTGCTGATGATGTAGCCTTATTGCGTTGTGGCGACGCGTCGAGACTGGAGTGAGATGGGTCTGAAATCCTGTGGTAATTCTCCAGGCACCCGCAATCGACGGTTTCCAGGAAGTTGCCTGATTCGGAGGTGAAAGTGATGTGACGCTAGCTAGATGAGCTCTAGTGGCTTGGCGGCTGCATACCGCAAACTCGGGTTTGCACGCATGTCGAGCTGCACGCTGTCATCTGCAACAAAACTCGATTTTTGTATCAATTTTGTTTTCTCCAATTTTGAAGCATGACGCATCCATTCACATTTGATAATACATATCGGTCACGCAATTTGGCAAGGATGTGTTGAGATGATTTATTCGTCGTCTCTGCTCGTGACCCTAGGGTATGGAGGGCACGCATTACTCCATCGACTACATCTTTCCTGAACAACAGAAGACAGCAAGCGCCAAATGACGTATTGCTTCCGCAGACTCAATAACTTCGCCGTGGTAGGCACGTCTCCATCTACGAGTCGTCGCCGATATCGACGACGGTCTTCTTCCACTTGCGGGCAGGAACCTTGCGCTTGAACAGAATGTCGATCTCGCGGTAAGAGCGGCCCTTCATCTCGGGGAGGAAGAAGTATGCAACGACGAAGCAGAAGAAACCGGTACCGGCCCAGACGTAACCGCACTTGCCGCCAAGGTTGGCCTCCTGGAATGTTTGTTAGCATGATGTTCATTGTGACATTCGAAAAGGGAGATAACTTACGTCGGGGTTAAGCATGTAACTGGCGAGGAAAATGCAAGGAATGTTGACAACGTAGTAAGCACCACGTCCGATACCGGTAGTGAGGGGCCTGAGACGAATAGACGAGGTCTCTCCGATGATGACCCACGAAGCGGGAGCCGGTCCGAGAGTGAACAGAACGGAGACAATCAGACCCAGAGAAGCCTGGGCAAGAGAAGCTGCGTTGGAGACACCGACGGAAGCGGCGATACCGAGAGCGACGAGGAAACCGACGTTGATGAGAGATCCCCAGACGTAGATAGTGCGGCGGCCGAGGTAGGTGGTGAGAATCCAGGAAAGCATGACGAAGATCATCTGGAGAGCGGAGGTAATAAGACCAAGGGCGAAAGCGGTGTTGACCGAGATACCAGCTTGACGGAAGAAGTAGACGGCCTGGTTGGCGATGAGGTTACCAGTCAAGTTCTGGGCAGCGTAAACACCGCAGACGATGAGAGTACGGTAGCGGTCGGTGCCCTTGAACAGCTCCAAAAGACTGGGCTCCTTGATGGACTTCTCGAGATCGATGGTACGGCGCATCATAGCGACGGCCTCGCTGAGGTTGAGCTGGCCCTTGCGTCCAAGACGACCGACGGCCTTCTCAGCTTGCTCAAGCTTGCCCTTGCGTACCAACCACCAGGGAGACTCTGGCGCCAGGTAGATGAGGATAGCGAGAGGAGTGGGGAACATCCATTGAAGCGCAATGGGGATTCTGTAGGCGCTTGCGTCGGGCTTGGGGTTGTAGTAGTACGCGACACCGTTGACGATGATGGCACCGATAGCCCAGAACATTTGCAGCATCTGAGTAGCCGGGGCACGGAGCTGGATAGGTGTAATCTCAGAGCAGTACGCGGGAGCGTTGGCAATGAAGATACCCCACGGGACACCCTCGAGAAGCTGGGAGACGAACATGATTGGGAGCGAGTTGGCGAAGTAGAAAACGAAGATGAAGCAGTTGAGAAGCATCAGACCGGAAATGGTCGCCCATCGGTATCCGATGCGGCTGGTGAGAGGACCAGCCAGGCATACACCGATAATGGCACCAACGGGCCCTCCCATTTGAAGCGCTGATTGCCAGCTAGCCGCGATAATCTTGCCGTGTGGTCGGTCGGGGTCCGGGTGTGTGAGCGGGATACCGAATTCCTTCTCGAATGCGGGCAGAGCGATGAAGTTACCCATCAGGAAGACACAGTAAGCCTCCATGATCTGTGATGATTTGTTAGCAACCGCATCTTAATTTTGAGGGATTTGAGCGAGGAGCTTACAATAGTGCAAGACATGATGAACGCCCAGAGAGCAGCCATAGGGTAGGCCTTAACAGCCTGTACGACACCCATGTCATGCTCAGCAGTCTCAGCGTCCATAGCCTGCGTCTTGAACATAGCAGCCTGAGCCTTCTCGTCAAGCGCGACCGAGTCGTCGACATGCGAGATGGCCTTCTCGACGTGCACATCGCCGCCATATTCCTTAGGGACGTCACCCATCTTTGCGAAAGGGCTCTTGCCGGGGTATAACAAGAAAAAAAAGGACGAGGGGTATCAGATCAGAGAAAGGAACTCTGGGCTGGCAAAGAAGACAAAAGGATAAACCGGGGAAACGTCTCCACCTTATAAACAGCACGGGGTGCGCACACTCAATGCGGGGCGGCTTAAATGTGACCTTGCAGCAACGGCATTTAGGCATGGTTAGCCATCTGGTGTACAGTAGTCACCCCCGGGGCGCGCTTGAACCATCCACCCACCCCTCCACATCTCCGAGCGTGCATTGTCTAATTCCCCAGAAAGATGGAAAATCCGTCGCTGGCGACTGGTGGGTCCGCCGTCAGCGCTATGTGCACATGGAAGGAATGCACGAGACAGTTTCCATCAATCACGGCTTCTGGCTATCAAGCTGGTTCCTTGCGCCGTCTGCGCAAGGGCCTCCAAGCCGTGCGAGGCGGCTGTCACGACAGAGTCGTGCTGTGTCGCTACGCTGGCCTAGCAGCGGACCGCTCACCAGATGTATCCATAGCGCTGCGTGTTGGTTTGCAGGTGGCTGTTTCTTGTCTGCTCTAGACTTCGTATTGAGGGTCAAGCAACACCTATCAGAGCTGCGTTTGCAAAGCTTTGTTCCGGTGCTAAAATACGCGCGCTAATATCCCCGCACCCCGACAGGCTTGTACGCTTGTTAACTGGAGTAGACCCGTTATTTATCCGTGGGCTCCCCAGATGGGCTACCCTGCTGCTCCAGGAAATTTTGGGTCTCTCCACTCGTTTTCTCCACGCTGAGGGCTGGGGTGAGCACGAAGGGTCTGAGTTACACGGCATCTGCGCGTTCCACTGATATGAGCCGTCCGACCATCCCGTTAGATCTCGCTACCATGGAAACTTGATATGCCTCTGTCTTTTACGGCTTGTAATTCGTATACAATGGCGCTGCTCATCCCGCCACATCCTTCCTTCCCGCCCCATGGGGGAGCTGTGGGAGCGGTATTGATATAAGTCGCGGTAGTGATAGCCCGAGGACGCCTTCATTTAAGCCCAGATACGGAACTTTGCCGGTGCAAGCGGATGGGATGCGAAGTTGAGCCTGGCGTCTTCCCCTACAAGTTAGCCGTGGCGTGATGCTGACAAGTGTTAAAACGTCCGCTGACGCGGAGCCGCCGCATGTGCGCAGATGGCCGCTGCTACCACCGTTAGTACTTGACACGTGCAAATATGTACGAGGCAGATGGGACAGGTTCCGTGGTTTATCTGATGGATGACTGATCGTGCGTCCGTGAGCGTGTGTTTGATGCGCTGCTAGACGTAACCGAGGCAGGGGAGGGTGGTGAAGGTGTTTGGAACTGCGCGATGATGTTGCTGGTAGACCTGGAGCCAGGAAATTGGGAACTGACAGGCGCGCTCGACAGCTCCGACGCAGCGGCACAGTTTGGCGGGTATGCTGCGTGGCTTCCACGTTCCGGCTTGGTGAACAATGTATCACATTGGATCCTTTGCAGAAAGTATTCCCTACACGCGTTACGACATTATCGCGCAGAGTAGTACCTCTGAACTTGATTCAACACTTGTTGCGCGTAACAAGGCAATACGTCGCTTCGCGGATGGGTACCTAGGTGTCCCAATGCTGCGCGTTCAGTATCGCTCACACCAACAATACGCGATCTCTTGCATAAGCTCGCGAAGAGCAGAACGCCCTGTGCAAAGCTTGATCAGCGGATACGGCCCAACATATTGGGTCGTACCAGCCGTGTTCCGTAGCTGCTCTCTTCCAGAGTTCATGATGCACATGACCGATTGACTTTACCTGAATCGGAGTCAGTGCAGTAAGCGCACATCCTGAATCAGTAGTACGAAAAATGAATTCACATCCACCTTTCCGTGCGCAACATTACCACGCATTACCAAGAACCTCTTTTGCCATCTTCGTTTGCCATTCTCTTTTGCCTCCATGGAAGGCGAATAGCGTGAAGCTGAACGCAATTCGGCTCTCGGCACACGCAGGGTTCGCAGATCAGATAAACAATCCAGTCAACACTGTACACTTCACGCATGGTGTAGGTACTCGAGCCAATCCAAGTCGGCGGGCGCCGTGCTATTAGCACCGGAAGTATGCAGGGCGCCTGAGATGTGACGGGTGTGTACGCAACGGAAGGTTGGTGGCGTCGATATCACGGCTCGAAGAGGTAGAGCATCCTGCGCGCAGCTGCCCAGGTGGTGGAAATAATCTAAGCGACATAAACACGGCCTCAATACTGTGAGGCGAGTCTATCCGGATGCTGAGATTTGGATTGAAATGAGATGTGTCCGGAAAGACCTCGACGATGAGGAGAAGACGGCGAGATGACGCTCGAGTAAGCTTTCGCACATGCGGATGCGGCGCACCCACAAGACGGACCTGAGTACTCGCGAGCGCCTCACAAAGGAGTTGCGTAGGTGCTTCTCACGACCTCGCGCAGCTGCTTTGGAACCCAGTCCAGGACTTTGAGCTGCAGCACAGATCCATTAATGCGCAATAGCTACACCCGCAAAAGGAAGCTCACACTGTTGCTACGGTAATTTCGATAGGACTCAATAAAGCGCCATCGCTGAACCCAAGACTCAAGGCACGATACCTCTCACCCACAATCCGCCTCTCGTCCCGCAAACCATCTTTCCCTCACGAACAGGTCCCACCACCCAATTCTCAGCGTACATCTCCAAAAATGAGCTCTCATGAGTCGGAGGAGCTGGACAGCAGCTATGATGATTAGCACATTTCGCGCTCCCATCGTCCACGTGTGCTACTACTAAGCAGCATTCCGCGTCTTCATCAGTTGGTTAGGCGTCTTCCCATCCTCGTCCTTCGAGTTTATGCGTCCGCCATGTTCCACTAGCAGTTTCATGGCATCGGCTTTGCCAGTCCAGGCTGCGAAGTGCATCGGCGTCCAGCCCTTCCAGCCCGGAACGACCTCCTCCACATCCGCGCCATGCTTTATCAGCAGTCGCATAGTGTCGAGCTGACCGAAACTCGCAGCGGTGTGCAACGCAGCAGTACCCGCTATAGGCGTACCGCGCTCCAACAGCATCTCAGTGGTGCGCGGACCCTCATTCATGGCAGCGAAAGACATCAGAGACGAGCGGAAGTTTCCGAGTTGTTTGTAGCCTGGCGCAACGGGCTGCAATGGATCTGCCCCAATCTCGAGCAGTGCAGCAGCTACATCTGGTTTCCTTCGCCTCACGGCCTCGTAAAGTGGCCGCTGGTGGCCGTGGCCGATACGGATGTCGATGACCTTCGGGTAGGCGGCGCCTAGTGCCTCGACGACAGCGGCGTGCCCACCGTCGATGACCTTGTTGACGACGTCTCTCGTTACGATATCGGAAAGGGAAATATCAAGCTCTGTTGCAAAAGCAAGTAGTGCGGTCACAACAGCAGCGTGGCCATTCTGAGCCGCTACCATCAAGGCCCGCTCAAGATTTGGGATTGGCCTTGCCATGACCTTCCCACGTGGATCTTTACTATAGATGGTGTGTGGTTTACTGAGCATCGTCACGATATGCTGTGGCTGCGATAGCAGACTCCATAAAGCTGTGTCGTCGCCAGACGAGCATGTTTCAATGAGACGGCGAGCGTCGTCCTGCCCTACGAGTACATCGCCTACATCTCTGGATGAGGTGTGGAGGGTGGGCAAGTCCTTTAGATCTGCCATGGTCGGTTCCGCCATAGCTGCGTCGTAATGGAGGTAATGGTAATGGTAGCGGTGATGATAACAGTAGTGGTAGTGCCGATGGAGACCGAGAAGATAAAGTGTCCACAGGTAGGCAAGGGCTTGCGTGAATCTATTCCATGTCCACGCTATTAGAAGCTTCAAGTATCGTGCTTTCAGCGAGTCAGACAAAGGTGCAGGTGCGACACAAGTGAACGTGAAGTTCTAACCTTTGTTAGGCAGCCGCACTTAGAAGGCGGGGTGGGGTCTAGCGCCCGGGCGTAAACAAAGGTACTTAAGTAGCCCCCATGTGGAATTTAAACAGTCTTACGACTTGGCTAGCGATACCACTATGCTGTAGCAAGAAGAGATCGTGGACTGCTTGTTGCCAATGGTCTTGAGATAGTCGGGCGTTGAGCGCAAGGCTGAGTGGGGGGCCTACTTCAACGATCCTTCCGCTCCAACTTTAGTAGGACGGCGGCCATGTACGGATCCTTCCGCCCCAATATGACGTCTACGCCTAGTGGGTACGATGGCCATCGTGCAGTAACTGCTCTTCGAAGTTTGTCGTAGATTATCGAAATTTGAACGACTTTGTGAACATAGACGCCCGACGTCGAAGAGGTCCAGCTCCTTCTCAGTCAAACATGGAGATATTGGAGTGCACTTTAGTGCTGGTCATGTTCGAACGTGAAGCTGAGGAAAAGAATAACTTTCACAAGTTCCATTCCAGCTTCCAACATGGTAAGATTTCACGCCCCTGGGCCAAGATGTAGACACAGTAAGAAGTCGCCCTGTGTATAGTATTATGGGGATCACAGTCACATATGATGGTATGGATCGCATTCCTTTGGAACTTTGGAGACTACAGCTACATTATGATACAATCATATAAAGCGAGGTTGAGATATGCGGGTTGTGTGTCTTGCCAGAAACCAGTCCAATACTATTCTCTATCACATCGCACGCAAAAAGAGGCAAGTACTACTGTACCTATATCATTCCGAACCAAGACAGAACATGGCACCTTCCTCCCGCGATGGGCGCTCCAGCCTAATAGCATTCTTCTTCTTCCTCTTTCTCTCGCTGCTCAACATCACGTCCTCCTCACCTCTCCCGGACAACCACGTTGAAAACGGCATAGTCATACGTGACCCGACAGACAGCATTACACAGGGGAGATACGAAGAATATCTCACCAAACACTGGCGAATGTAAGCCAATTTGACGAGCCATCATATACCGACCCCACCCACTGACCCCCACCCCCAAGACCGGAAGATACATGTTCTACAGCGGCAACTCCGAGTTGCAAATCCGGGCCTTCCGCGAAAAGAACCCCACCTATTACCGGCACGACCCCATCTTCAACGCCTACACATACGACCACCCCTGGTACCTTTTCTTCGACGAAAACAAAGATCTAGACAACGGTGAGACATCATCGCAAGCCCTCGCCGCAAAAACCACCGGCAACGTCCTCATCTTCGGCGCCGTAGAATGGAAGACAAAAGGACTAGAATCGCTCTTTGCGCGTCATGAAATCGCTAATCTGCATGAAAGGCTTCAGAACGGGAATATCAAGAGCATTGTTCATATGCAGAAAGATGCGACGAAACCATCGCAGGTCATGGCTACGGATGACGCAGATGGGAAGCTGACTTGGAAGAATAGCTTTAAAGAAGGTGACTCGAACGCTTCTGGCACCTACGACGTGTGCGCATCCGATGGCACGGAATGCGACGTACCTAAACCCAACAAAATCACCCAGCAAGACAGATGCCTCCATCACAACCGATGTACTCCCAGCGATCTTCGCGCGCCCAAAACGCTGCGGCGGCTTAGGCGGATTCTGATACGGAACGAAGAACTCCTCCAGCGACACTTCGACGCACCATTCGACATGGTACAGACGAAGAAGCGGTTGAAGGTTCAGACATACCTCCCTGCTATGACGCGGTTCTTGTTCAGTAGGCCCGGCCAGTACAAAGCCCAGCAAAGGCATGACCCTCTCCATCGCCATGGTCACACACTACTCCGGCCACGGAACCTCCGTAAGCGTCAACAACGAGTGGAAGTTCTACACCACCAGCGTCGGCAAGGCGGTGGGCAGTTGCGGTGAGACTGCCCGCAGAGGGAGATTGCTTGTCGCAAGGATTCGAAGAAGGATATGGAGGTTGGGGCGATGAAGTGTGGAAGGGATCAGTTCTTTGCTCCGAGTGTGTTTTGCGATTCCTAGGGGGATGAGGTAGTGTGGTGAGGGGTGTGCTATTGCAGTACGCTATGGCTACCACATCATGCAAGGGAAAAACTGAACACCATAGAGCCTACGTTGACGTTAGCCTACCTACTTTGCATGTTTTTATCTTAATGTAGGCTCTAGGGTGTTCAAATTTTCCCTTGTATAAGGTGCTACGTTGATGGAGATTTGTGGTCCGAGAGGTCTAGCGTTGTCCTGGAGGTGTTGGTTGGGATGGGACTATGGCGGCTAACGTCTGCGACAGGAGGTGCGAGAGAGTGAGACGCCGAGTTTGATGGAGAACGATATATGGCCATAGACAATTGCTAGGAAGGTGTTCTTTGAGTGCGGTCAGTATGGTATTTATCAATAAACCGCAATCGGTGTGTAGCCACAAGACCAGGGCGACACGAAGAAGAAGCTTCTGCACCCTTCAATCTCATGACTGTTGCCTTTCAGAAATCCCATAAATGCGTCAGTCCCTGGCAATGCGAATGAAAGCAACAATTTCGAGCATTCGTCCATGTGCGCCACTCAACACCCCAGCAGCTACCAAGCCCTGAGCCAAGCCATAGGATGCAACGCCACGCATCCTTAGGCTGCGATCCTTCATGCCGTCGCGGATAACTCGGGACTATCAAACGAGGTCCACGGATGATCTCTTCCACAACTCTTTGTCCGGCCAAACACGTTCTGTTTCAGAACGCATGTTCGAGCGGGGAACTCAATGGAGAGACACGAACTGGTGTGTGTATGCACCAAGCACCTGCAAAGTATGTTTGAGGGCAGTATGCCTGGGCATCAGAAATCAGGGCAGTGATCTGGGGTGAGAGGTGGTTGCGGAGTGTAGCGTCTGAGGTGAGATGCCTTGGTATCGGGATGACGGGTGATGCATGTATCTCACACACCAAGACTTGTCATTGGCAAGTAAGTCCATTATTTCAACAAATGGCTTGGTTGCGTAAGGCCAGCATGCAGGTTGTTCATAGTGCGGAGTCGTGGACTGCAGAAGCGATGCTGCAGCCACAAATTCCGTATCACCTCCAACAAAATCGAAGTGACGGTGTAATTGCTTGTGCGTCATCCTTATGCGAAATTAGATGGAAATGCCTTCCAGAAGAGCACGTCCGCGATTCCATGCCGCGGGCAAATATCGATACACTATAGGCTCCTTGGCGCGGTTGAGTGCTTGGTATGGCGCTGTGGCACAGACGGAACAAATGAGCGGGCAACAATAGATTGAGCAACTTGCATCATGGCACCGCGAAACCGGGTTCTCGGTCTCGCAACGAATTTCCCTCATCAAGAGCGGCTCGACGCGCGGTGGTGAGCACCACAAGGCATGCCGGCCCTGCACGGATAAACACAAGCCGTCAGAGCGCCGGTCGTCGAGGAAAGGTTTGGGGAACTGGGGGAATAATCGGACGCTATCGGACCAACGATTGCTTGGCCTACCTTAATTTTCCACCGGTTCCGGACGACCCCTCAAATCGTGGGCTAGGGGCTGCCACTATACGGTACGACGCTCCGATGGCGCAGTTCTGGACTTGCGGCTCAGAGCACGTGGGCTTGCAGTCGCTCCAGTGCTTCGCTTTCGGCAGGTGCTGCAGCATGTGAAGACGGCAAGTGGACACGTTGTGTGTGGAAGCTGATCTGGGAGGATTGATAATACGAGAAAACGGCCGATGGGGCGCTGCGACTCATCGTTGTGAGGGGTGCCTTTGGCGAGGACCAACCCAACACCGGGGATAGCAGCGGAAAGGAAATTATGCTTAAGTCGGCGCCAACCTTATCTGCAACCATGCAAATGTAAGCGAACGACAGATTACTGAGCACACAGATCGACGTCAATTCGTGCTCACAGTGATCTCGAAATGAATATGTCGGCCCGTGAAGAGTTGCAACGGCTTTCCTTGCGACTCGTGCTTGAGTGATTGAAACGAAGTAGCTGCCTGCAAAAGCGACCCCATGATGTAAATATCCGGTATGTGGAGAAGCCAACGCTGGGCAGGCTTGACAAGTCGGATGACGCGGCTTCGACGGTGTGAGCTGATAAGACAAGCAGCGGGCGTTGTATGAACGTGGAGAAGGGCGGGCTTGGCCATCCATCGAAATAACAATCCTGTTTGCTACTTGGCAGGCTTGAGTGCGACTGATCCAATGGTTCCACCCGGAGGTTTACCTCTCTCGGGCAGCTGAGACGCCATGTTCCATGGCATCTTGCACAAGTGCTCGTCCGCAGTCTACGGTCTTGGATGGGTCTTGACAAAGAAAGACGGTCTGGTGAACAAGGTGCCGCGCTGCCCACTTGCTAGGCAGCAGGGTTTTACGCAAAGTCGGGTCTCGTCATGGCGCAACACTGCCACGATGACAGTCCAGGGGCGGGAAGTCTCATGGCTGCGATCCTCAGCTCTTCTGTTCTGGAAGCGGAGAAGCGACGGCCCTGTGATACCGCCAGTGTGGGTAAGTCGGATCCTCGTGGCACGGTGGTAAGCTTAAACCGCAGGCACCAAGCTTAATCAAAGTGCTGGCCGAGCCTTTAAGCGAATGAGCTGAGAAGTTGCAAGCGCCGGATTACGTTGGTGTGGATCGGAGCGGATGTCTGATCCAGAGCGGAGTGTGGAATCGGCTTGGTTGGCGGGCACAGTTTCCACGTATGCCACAAGTTTGCGGGCGGCCGTTAACTTGCGTGAGCAGACGGCACAGAAACTCTGCACTTAGCCGGAGCGTGTAGGGCATCCTTCGGGACTAGGACTAGGCAGGCTCCTTTGTCGCGCAGGTCAGTTGTTTGTCCGCTTCCAAGGGCGCCGAGAGCACGACAGGTGGAGATTTCTTAGGGGACCGAGGCCAAGCATGCCATGGCCTGCCACAATCTGAGGGCGACGCGAGCGTGGGTTGGTTTTGGGACGACACGGACTTTTGGAACGCCTTGGCTGTGCTTGGTGTGTTGCTGCTAGCGGGGGCCAAGCAGGACAAGACGGATTGACGGACTGATGGACCACACCGCGAAGTCTTGGGAGGTGTCAGCGCCGGGGTCCGAGTGGGGCTGCCAAGGGATCGAAGGCTTGTCGAAAATAAAGATTCGTTTAGAGTTATCCGGCTCGCAAAGCTTGGCTGGGCGAGCCAACGCCGCCAGGCGCTGCGTGGTGCTGGGCATGCCGTGGCTCCGGCGTGTGCGAGCCGCGGTGAGGGCTCGTCGCTGCAAACAGTTTCTCACGCCGTCTGGGGACGCTGGCTGGTGGCACAGGGCGGCATGGCAGATATTGGGGGCTGTGTGTGGGTAGACGCTGCTGGGGCTCCGCTGGAACGGAGGGCCAGTGAGCAGCTAGCTGGGGTCCAAATAAAGCTTGTCGTGCGCCTTATTTCGCTATCAGACGCCACTCCACGTCTCGGCGGGCGATCAAGACGACGACCCCAGCGCCCAGAAAAGGGCCAGAGACGCCAAAGGAGCGTTGCTGGGTCCCAAGCCCGCCTGCCTGCAAGTACATGAGGGCGGATGACTGCTGATGGCTTTCCAAAGATTTCGCCCTCTGACCCATCTTCCCCAACTTCCAACTTTCGTCACTTAACGCCGCCTATACCAAGTGGACCACTGCCGCGCACACCTATCAGACGCTGACTCCGTTTCATTGCCGGCCCGTTTCACGTCACCGGACCTCGACACATTTGACCTCATCGCACTGCCCCATATAGACGTTGCGACGGCTCTGCAGACACGCCCCGTCACAGTCACACACCCTATTGTAAGTCTCCATCTATGTTTCGTGTCTCCGTGCCGCTTTGCCTGCCCCCTCTCTGGCATGCCGTTCCTCGGTTCGCCATGTTCCAACATTCATGCGCACCGCGATTTCCGAGTTTGCCGGAAACGCTGCATACCAAGATTACCGCAACTGTCGCATTGCCTTGAACCTGAAGCGCTTGTTCCATGGCTTGGACTAACGCGATCCACACAGCATCTATGAGGTCTTGACACCTCCACACTATCTTCGACACATTTCCCCCACACGTCTTCGCAATGGAGACCTACCACGGACACGTTCGCACGCCAAACGATGCCATCATCCTGTTTGAGGCCTGCCGCATCGGCATACTACCGCGAGTACAGCGCCGCCTATCCGAGAAAGAACGCCAGCAGATCAAGTCAGGCTCAGTATTTGTATGGGACGAGCGCGAGGCCGGCATGAGGCGGTGGACCGATGGAAAATCATGGAGTGCCAGTCGCGTGTCGGGCAGCTTCCTCACGTACCGAGAGATGGAGGGCAAGCGGGGAGGCAGCGCAGTTCCCACAGCCCCAGTAGCGAAGAGGGCGAGCGGAAAGTCGCCAGACGGCACAGGCTCAGGCGAATCGGACGGCGAAGGACCAGACGGCTACCGGTACAAGCCGGATGGTCTCATGAAGCAGTCCTTCAGCATTACCACCCAGAGCGGACAACACCTCCACCTCATCAGCTACTACTCGCGATCGAATTCCAACAACCTCCCACAGCCGACCAACGATGCGCAACTGCGGCACATCCGCCCGCCAAAGAACATGTACCCGGAGTCGGCGGTGAACGAGACCCAGACTGTGCCTGCCGTCACTCGCGGGCCCATGCCTGGCTCACCATACAACGCACCCGGACACAGCATGGCACCTTCCTCGCCGTATACCCGTGGCGGCCCTGTCGCACCCATGTACGCGATACCAATGTATCCTCCCACACCACCCAACGGCACACCTCCCATGTACTATTCGCACCAGCCTTACTTCTACCCCGGCGTTGTCTACGCGCAGCCTCCATACCACCCGCAACACGTCTTCGACCGCCCACCAATGGCCCACCCTCACGCTCCTCAAGGCCACCATCCCATGCTGATGCAACACCCCGCTTACGCAGCGCATGCCGCACATGCCGCTCAACAATATATGGCGACACCGCCTCTCCGCACACCATCGACAGCTGAGCAAGCTCAACAGCAACACCTTCAACGTGCCAGTGCCCCTGCGCCTCCCCCGGGACCAACACCATCAATTCCCGAGCAAGGTCCGCAACTTCCAGCTATCAACGGCACGGCCGCCGCAGCAGGTGCGAACAAGCCACCGACACCAGAGCCATCTGACAAGTCCGAGTCCCGGGCACCCGAGTCAAATAGCACCGCTGCAGCCGCAGCATCAAGGCCGCTTCCTACATTGGGGTCGCTGCTCAACGGCGAGAACCAAGATAAGGACAATCAGAATAACAGCCGTTCTGGCAGCCGCAGTCCTAACACCGCAACGAGATTCCCCCGAGACTTGGCACCGGAGAGACTCGCTAAGAACAGCACCGCTGCCGATAGCAGCGCGTTGAACAAACTCAACAGCGTGTTCGTGCGATCATAGCAATATCGCAACTAGTGTCTTATCCTTCTTCCGCTGCCAAGCGCCTTCTTCTTGTTCTTCTTCCACATTTACATCTGTACTCCCCACTTTTCTTTCCGAGTACGGGTGGTCGTCTTCAGCATTTACGAACGGCATATGGGCGGCGTTCGGGTATCACGGCTTCATGGCCAAATCATGATTAGCCTGGGGGCTGGGAAGATGCGCGGTTCATAGCATCGGCCGATAATCGGGCCTGGAGTTCAATGGTGTACTTTTTCACAACTTTGTTGATACAACGAAGAGTTATGTGTAACACGCTAGCTATGATGTTTGTCGCTGCTGCAATACAAAATTTCATACCGCCATCGCATGCAAATCATTTCGAATACGATCGCTCCGTGACTGTCCTGACGTTCACTTTAGAGTTTTAACGTTGCTTTATGCTTAACGTGTCTAATCGCGACTAGCGATAAGCTTTCAGCACTGACATCATCACCATCGCGCACCTGTCTCCCTATCAACTCGCACACCGTCCAGCAGACAAGCCAAGCCCGCTATCATCACCAAGCCGACTTCTTGCGACTCTTGCGATACCTTGTCTGACGCCTCCGCTGAGCTTCCACTCCTTCTCTCCCGGCAATTACCCAATCACCCCCATTTTAACGGAACTAGCCACCCATCGCAGCTTCCTGTTGCGGAAGGTACGCTTGTCTATCACGTAGTGTCAGACCCTATCTCGAGTAGTTCCGCGGATCAACACAAGAGATACCCCGCAGTGGTACGGCAACTTGCGGGCGTGAGCGTATCGCGTGTAGGGAGATGCAGGGGTGGCTTATCAACTAGGAATGGGCGGACGTCAATGGCGCGTTGGGGAGGTCGGTTATCGTTTATGGAGGTTTGTGCGTCGACGTTGACGTCGCGTCGGCTCTTGGGTGGGTTTATATGAACGATTGTGACTACGACTTGCGCAGTTGAGTATTGCGCATCTTTGTTCTTTCGTTGAGTCGACTATTCGAAGCGATCGAGCGCCCTCGAGATACCACGTCATGGCGTCAGCGACCGACCACCCACCCACATCTCCGCATCCTGCGCCCGTGGATGTCGAGAAAGAACCGATTGTCGAAAACAACGGCAAAGGTCTCAAGAATGTCCTCGACGAGAAACTCTTGAAGCACTCACACGATGCCGATGCGGCGATGAAGGCGTTCGAGGGCATGGAGGGCCAGGTTGTGGAGTTGACGGAAGAGAAGAGTAAAGCGCTGCTGAGGAAGATTGATATGCATATGATGCCCGTACGTTCAATTTTCCCTGTTCTGAAATTTATCGATGCGTTCGTTGGCATGACTGGTAACGAGCTAATGATGTTTACAGATCATGTGCATAGTTTACGGGCTCAACTACCTCGACAAGACCACATTGAGTTACGCAAGTATCATGGGTCTGAAACTCCCTCCTTCGGACAACATACTAGAATCAGGTATCGGTCTAGTCGGAGACCAGTACTCGTGGCTGGGTAGCATGTTCTACTTTGGATATATCGCTTGGGAGTATCCTACCACGCGTCTACTGCAAGTCTTGCCACTGGGAAAATACTGTACGTCTCCTTCCACTCTAATGCTTTAACTATTCAGCATGTTGCCAAGGGGCTAACATATCAAAGCGGCGTTCAACATCATAATGTGGGGCCTCGTCCTGTCCTGTTTCGCAGCCGTAGAAAACTACGCTGGAGCAATCGCCATCCGCTTCTTCCTCGGCGTCTTCGAAGCAGCCGTAACCCCCGGTTTCGCCCTCTTCACCTCGCAATGGTACACCAAGAAAGAACAAGGCTCACGCACAGCCATCTGGTTCAGTTTCAACGGCTTTGCGCAAATCTTCGGCGGCTGCGTCGCTTACGGCATTGCTGTGGGATGTCGCAAGTACGGAACTATCATGGAGCCCTGGAAGATTGTTTTCTTGGTTACGGGACTGCTTACTACGTGTCTTGGTATCGCGTTTTTGTGGATCGTCCCGGATAACCAGTTGAACTGTAGGTGGTTGAGTAAGGAGGATCGGGTTTTGGCGATTGAACGTATTAGGATCAATGCGCAGGGTGTGGGTAACAAACACTTCAAGTGGTATCAGTTGAAGGAGGCGTTGGTCGATCCGTTGAGCTGGGCGTTCTTCTTCTACGCGTTGATCGCTGATATCCCCAACGGTAAGCCATCATTCACAAACCTCACCGAACCAACTGCTAACACCCCACCAAGGCGGCATCTCAAACTTCTTCTCCCAACTCATCGTCGGCTTCGGCTACACGCCTGAAGAATCCCTCCTCTACGGCACCCCAGGCGGCGCGGTCGAAGTCGTCTTTCTCATCGCATGTGGCTGGGCAGGCGACAAATACGGCTACCGCCTCCTCATATCCATGATCGGCCTTACCACTGCTATGATCGGCATGATCCTCATCGTCGCACTGCCTCTGAACAACAACTCCGGTCGTCTCGCTGGCTATTACCTCACCCAAGCCAGCCCTACCCCGTTTGTCGCTTTGCTCAGTCTCATCTCGAGTAATGTAGCAGGCTATACGAAGAAGACAACTGTGGCGGCTATGTATCTTATTGGGTACTGTGCTGGAAATATTATCGGTACGTACTACCTCTATGCTTGAGACGAGTCCGGCTAATATGATGCATGAATATAGGCCCTCAAACTTTCCGCCAGCAAGACGCGCCCCGCTATGTTTCCGCCGAGATAACGATCATCGTCTGTTATGGTGTTTGCTTGGGTATCATAGCGTTCATTCACTTCTACTGCGTCAGGCAGAATAAGAAGAAGGCGCTGGTTCGTGCTGACCCTGGATATGTCAAGCTTGAGAACCAAGAGTAAGTTTTAACACCTCGAATTTTTGAGATGCGCAAGTGCTGACCGTTGGTGCAGATGGCTTGACCTGACAGATAGAGAGAACCCAGAGTTCATCTACACATTGTAGATAGTGATTTACAACACATGGGACGAGTGCAAAACGAAACGAGACCGTCGTAGATGATAGAATTACCCAACGCGATGATAGCGTGGATGGATTTGCAATGTTCCATGCCTCAAGTGTAGCAAATCAACTGACTCAAAAAATATCCGACAATGCCAGCTCGTCATGTTGCAACACGACACCTCACGGCTGCTGTGCAGGCTTCACCTTAACCATCATAGGCCCCTTATCCCAAAGCGCAAAAACCTTCTGGTCCATCCAATCCCTCTCTTTATCCACAAGTTCCAGATCATAAGCGAAGAGCACCTTGGTGAGAATGAGGCGCGTTTCCGCATGTGCAAGACTAGAGACGGTGATGTCAGCCCGACGTCCGTATCAACAAGAAATAGGAAAGAGAGAGAGGCTGCAACGTACGTCTTCCCAATACAATTCCTCGGCCCAAAGCTAAACGGCTGATGGCTCGCCCTCTTATCATCCGCATACCGCTCATCCCCCAACCACCTCTCCGGCACAAAAGCATCCGGATCACGCCAGTTACGCTCGGAATGGCCCATGGCGTGCATGGAAACATATACCGACGCTCCGCCAGGGATATAGTAGCCCGATACCCGATCACCACCCGCCGGCACCACACGAGCAAGCCCCGTAGCAGCAGGTGGATAGTACCTCAACGCTTCCTGGAATACAGCGATGAGGTAATCCAGTTTATTCACTTCGTCAACGGTAATTTGGTCCGCAGAAGAAAAGCGCGACCGGATTTCCGTAACGAGTTTCCTGTACGGCTGTGGGTTGCGGAGGAGGAGGTACGTCGCACCCGCCAGAGCCGTCGCACTCGTTTCGCTGCCTGCGATGAGGAAGGACACAGCATTGCTATCCATTTCCGCGCGGGTGAGTCGCGTGCTTTCTTTCTCTTGGTTCTTGATTATGTGTGTGAAGAAATCGGGGCGTGTGTCTTCTCCGCTTTGGATCTTCTCCAGTCGCTTGCTGACCATGTCGTGGGCGCGTTTCGCGAATTCGTAGCGGGCGCGCATGGGGCCGGTGTTGTCGGTGAAGAGACTGCGGATGAGGTCGAGATAGCGGAATGTGAAGTGCTTGCCTCGTGAGACGTGGAGGGCGATGGCTTGGAGGCTGCGGAGGGTGATTGAGATCCAGAGGTGTTCTTTGGAGTCGCGGAGGCAGTAGAGGGGTTCGCCGAATGTGAGGTCGGATATGATGTCAAAGGTCGTGAAGTCTATCGTATATGGTCAGTCTGAGTTCTGAAGGAGAAGGCGCTGCGTGTAATACGCACTGTACCAAGTCCTGATATCGATATCGGTGTCTTCGGCAGCGTGTTCGCCCAGGCGTTGGACTAAAAGATCGACATAAGACTGTATGAGACTTTCCTGTCCTCGTAGAGCCTTGTCGCTGAAAGCGTGCGATAAGCTACGTCGCATTCGCGGATGTCCTTCTTCGTCTGCTATGAGAAGTGACAAGACGCCATTGACAGGCCGGGGGCTATCTTGTCATCAGCATTTTCTCGCTCATAGCTTCGAATGAAATTAACCTACAACCACTTCAGATCCTTGACAAAGTTTCTGCTTCTATCCGTTTTGTGGCCGTAGATATCCTGCCACGCAGTCTCTCCCGAGATGAAACTGACTTCATTCGGTTCTAGACGCACTGCATCGCCGTATTTTTCGTGGCATTCTTTGATCCATTTGACCACACTACCATCGCGTATGTGTAGCGCGAAACATAGACCGGTGGCGCGTGCGAAGAGGGGACCAGGGATGTGCCTGAGAGGATGGAAGAAAATGTTGTATACCACTGTGCAGATACCGTAGATAATGGCCTATTCGGAGTCAGTGAAGCTTTATAGGTGGGTCGCATCAATGTAGTCGTCAGGGAATTGAGTAGTCTCCTGATGTCACGATCGTGAGACGGATGTCAGATGCCAGGGCAAGGGTGACGGCAACCTCAGGAACGTGAGGTGTGTACTCACTGACGCCAAAACCACTTCAAACACATTGAAAATCCCTTTCAAGCTAAACAGCGAAAATCCAGTCGTTGAGATACTCGTCAAGATCGTCATGGTTGGACTTGGGCGACACTGTCTTGAATCAAGATACTCCCAGCGTTATGTATCTGGTGGGCGGGGTTTGACTTGAGGATCTCATGGAGCGACGCATCATCTGCCGGGTTAATCATAAAGACCGTAGAACGACCGCCTAATACCCTTGGGCTAGTTATCAACAAAGTTCACGACATGGTTTTGTTCATCGAACGTCCGTGCGCGAGAGTCGTTGATCCTCAGGCTGGTGCTGGCATAAGCAGGCTAGCGCGAATCGATATCTGATCATCACCTTTGGACTCGATGCACCCCTCGAACAGCACGTAAGAATCGGCCAGACTGCAATTTACACCCCGCCTGCCCCACCTCTTCGGCCCATACGCCTTATACCCCGAACGTCGTTCTTGTATCGTTCCCGTCGCGGTGTGTGGGATGCCCACCGTGCTAGTAACCCCGATGCAAGACGGTTGTATTGGGGGTTCGATGTGCATGTTGTGACATGTGATGCTGACCGATGAGCGAAATACATCAATCCGGGGGTCTAGATGAAACGTCCTCAGCCAAGAATGCACGTGTCGAATGTACCCCGCTCCCAACAGCGGTCTTATGGGGGTATATAGTCGAATAGGATGGATCCGCTGCCAATCGAAGCTGCTGTTGAGCTGGGTACGAGCAGCAATCAAGATTCGGCATGTCGGAGCACTGCTCGAAGCGCATGTTCGATCGCTCTTGTATGCTTATCGCCATGAGTGGACGCGTAATCGGATCATACTCCAGTCTGCACAAGTCCTTCGAGGTGACATCGGCAGGTATTACTCAGTGAGGAAACTTGGAAGCGATAGTATTCGGTACTTGGTGCTACTTGGCAGCGAGAACCTATCGCACGAGCGGTTAGCAGTACGAAAGAAGCGTGCCCTGTTCATAGGGCCTCGATAAGCATCGTCTCCTCATTATCCTGCCTAGAAGTACTGCACATGAATGCACCGAATGTGTCGCCGCAAGCGTCAATCATCGTTGCCGTATCGATATGTAGGCCTCCAGACGCCTGTCCGTATAATCTTCCCATCATCCTCGCGACGGCCGATGCGAATAACGCGATATCGACCGCGCATGCCCAAAGGAAAAAGGTATCGTAGAAAAGAAATATCCGTTCGCACTCGAATCGCGTGTCGCCTTGTAATTACCTCGTAGGTCTTCGCGCAGCCGGGGATCCTCTATCACGTAGTCAGCAAGCATGACCCATAATCTTTCGTGACGACCTACCCTTCATGCGCAGTATTCCATGTCTTGACGAAGGCACGTTGCGTCTTATCCGCATAGTCTTCTGCATTGACTTCCTTGACTCCGACCTTGGCGCCGTCTTTGGTGAAGACGACGTTCTTCTTCTCCATCTTCTTCACGCCACGCTCGGCGAGCTCGTTGGAGTAAAGGAAGATCTGTAATGGCGCATAGCTTAGCATGCCGTGCGCGCGCATTGTCGGAGAGATGAATTACCTGATAGCCGACCCATCCTACGCCTCCGACCACCGCGAAGAGAACAAAGAGCGGGATGAGGTTCAATGCGCCCATGGTTGTGGTGATGATGACGTAGCGAGGCTGGTGTTGCGTTGAGGGTCGTGTGGCGGGGTAACCTTGCGCGAGGCGAGTGCGTCTGTGAATGAGGCTGATGAGGGAGGAATACAGATAGACTTCAGGGAAGGAAACTTTCAAGTTTCTGCAAATTGTTGAAGGGCTAGGGGCCCACAGTCGCTATAGATGCCGTGGCTGTGGCTGAGCAGATGAAACCCCGAACACGAATTGAAGGGTCAGCCTTGGCACGGAAACGGGCCGCAGCCTGATCGCCGCTGATGATGCATCGATCAAAAGTCCGGACATGTGAGCGGCCAGGAATGTCTTTTTGATTCTGGCATGATGGGTGCTGATGATGTCTTCTTATCATGAGGTTTTCGCTTAGGACGCCTGACGATTGACATGTTGCATGTCTCCACTGATCATCCGCGTCGAACGCGTGGGTCACATGAACACTTACTAGATACGGATGACGATCCATGGAACAGACATTCGGCTTATATTAGACCCTCCGCGAAGTCCCATTTACTGTTATCTAAAACCCTAGGTATAATACAGGTGCGATGCTGTTCACCATGAATTGGAATGTTTTCTTTCCTCCACATATTCTTACAGATCCCTTGCCCCATCATGGCCTGCGTCAAGGGAACATGGGGCCACATGTCAAAACATGTCTCCTCGCTAATACCAGCACCTGAGCACTACTCAGCCCAAACTTTGTGCCAATAATGGACAGTCGACCCAACAACCAGTCGCGTTGCTCTTGTGGTACGGTCTCGGCGTTTGCTGCGACGTATAGTGGCCATACCAGCGAGTATCCGCCGAATGCCTCCGCAGCTGCAAAATAGTTAGCGCTATGCTTCACATCGCGTTAGCAGGACTGCGACATACCATTTTGCTCTTGACCCATTTCTTTCGCCACGGGTTGCAACTCGTAGTTCATGTGAAATGGCACACATGCACTAATCTCGTCCACCATCATCTGGATGACAAACACGCTCCTACTCCACGTCTCATCGCCATCTGCATAGTTGCCACCGATGCTGAGCCATGTCACACATGCCATGATGACTCTTCGACAGAATATCCGACAAACGCGGTAGTCGTTCATTATACTCGCCAACGACACGTCATGATATACGTGTTGCTCGCCTGGCCATCGTTCAGCCAGCGCGATCTCCTCGGGTGCGATTGGATCGCTGGAGACGCCGATGATCCGATGTTTCCACTCTGGAGGCAGGGTGCGGTACCACTCTTCGAGGTTTCCGTCGACCATTTGCGCAAGGTCGAGGATTTGCTTCGCTTCTGATTCGTAGGCGGGGTCATATGGTGTGGTAGTGAGGATGTTCGCACGAGCGCGGAGGTTTGGGAGATCAATACAGATGAGTGTCAGCCGATTGGCAGCATTCTCTTCGGAGATATCGCCGTTGCCGACCCAGCCTCCGGTACCAGGAAAGGAGTCGATGGGTTTTGAGCGTTGAACGCAGCTTGTAATCTGTCCTTCGTTAGATTATGGCATGCAAACGATTTGTTATTGGTACTTACCATCATCGTTCGTACGGCGCGGAACATGGCATGTGACATTGGATCGTTGAACTGTTCGATTCCCCTCAGTTTCGTTAATGCCACGGCACCGTCGACATGATTTCCCCATGCTGTGATAGTGTCGTCTGTACTCATTATGGTCTGATGTTCGTTAGCTCAAGATATGCATCTGGGGATAGACAGCCAGGTTATTGGGGGCCTGCAAGAGATGGCTCGTTCACTTACTTCATACAATGAAAACATGAGAACAGCCAGTACCGTCTCATCGCTCTTCGCCATCGCAGGATCTTTCAGATCGTCGTTCAGTTTCTTGATAGCCTTGCCGTAGGTGTTTACCGCTTCACGGAGGAGCTGCTGTCGGCCGGGATACTGACCGCATGTTGCCATCGCAACAGCAGTAGTAGCCAAATGGAGGACCGAAGATGGGCGGGCACGATTGTAGAGTGGCACCAGATATTCTAGGTATCCTCGTGTGCTTTCGGCCTGTTGTGGCAGGGTGATGAAGTTCTTGAAGAAGAACGGTACGGCTTCGCATTCTGGCGCAAGTGTTATGGTTGGCGGTACTGCGTTTTCCAGATTCCACACGAACGCCTCGAAGTCGAAAGACTGGTCTAGAGACAGTGGTGGTGTTGTATAGTTGGACAGAGCAAGTATTTGTTGTGATGGGCTTAAGTCTGAGGGTATTCTCGATCGTGAGGTGGTTATTTGAAAGGCTTTCTCCCCCGGTACTGCATTCTCCCCCGGTGGTACATCGAACGTCGAAGAAGGTGACCTATTTGTGTTAGCGCGTACAAATTGCAATGTGGGTCTTCGGCTTGCGACAATCACATGCGAACACTTTCAGAACGCATACCGCCTACGAGGGTACCCATTTGCTCGGCAAAGCTTATCGGTATCCCCTGTGCACGAAGCGGATCGACATGGGCAGAATGGTGTAGTACATACAGATGCGGCGAAGTGCTGGAGCTTGACGCACCGTTGCTATTGCTCGACGCGGTCGTTCCGGAGGACTTCCTCGCCTTCTTGGCCATAGCTTTGTTCTCATCTCGAAAGACCAGGTCGAAATCATCAGGATAGCCGGGACATACTCGGGCGGACTTTTTGCAGTTGCCACATGTTGGTCGTTTCTCGTCGCACTATGCACAGTCAGTCGGCGAGCCAAAACGCGGCCTCAGGCAAGCGCATCCGAATACGCTCGGAGGCGATATCGCTAGTCAAGAGAATAGAGTAATTGTCGCGAGGTAACACATACCTTTATTCGGCGGCTTTTACACATCCCACATCCCCGGCTCGGCTTTCCGGTGTAGACCATCGTGATACGATATTCTAAGGAATGGAAGAATAGAAGAAGGCGGCAGGGACGGGACTCAGGCACCAAAGACAACACTTGCCTTCCAGATTCGGGCCTTCGGTTCTGACTATAAAGATGCCGTAGGTAAACAACGATATTCCTAATCGGATTTCAGGCAACTCCGCCTCTGGAGCCTACGACTACGATCAAGCCTATATTACCAAATGATCCAAGCGACAAGCTTCAGCTCGCCTATATCTGACAAGCTCTGTAGATGAGCGCAAGGCCGACTCCCATGCACCGAGGTACGCGACGATAAGCTCAGGAAATTGACGTCGACGTAGGTTGGACAAGGCGTTCGGCCGGCAGTGCGAAGACTCGCTAGGGAAAGAATTCGCGATCGGACCACCAAGCTTGTAAGCAGCGTATTTGCATAGACCTATCAGGAGAGCAAGAAGGCGATGACAGGGCTGCAAACTTCATTCTGAAACCGGACGAGGGATGGCATGGCAGTCCGAGTCGATTGGTCTGCCGCACCGAGATGCCCACCGCAGGAAGCAGCCGTTGTGGTGGTTGATTTTTCTCGCAAGCACCACCAGATTGGGCTTAGCGCTGCGCCCAAAACAGTGGCGCAGCATGCTGTCGTCCCCTTTCTGATATCACCAGGAACGCGACAAGACATGACCAACACAACTTGGGGCGTTTCCAAACGTTGCTGCCTGGTGTCTTTTCTGCAGGTGCCTCAGGCACTGACGCAACCGCTTACGTATGTCGCGTTTTGCGCTTCTTTGGGATCACATACGCACTATGGGAATCGCCGGCTCGTCCGAATTGGCCGTTTAAGCCGACTGTCAGCGATTGCGCCATTGGCGCAACGTGTCCTCTTTTAAGAATGTGATAGGAGATGGATTTCGATGATGGTATGATGCAAAAAGACTGATAAGCGATGAAGGACGAGAATGCATAGCGAGGTGGCAGTACGCCTCCGGATCTTGGGTATTAGAGGGGTGTCAAGCGATTGTCTCGAACACCAGTCGCAGACGCGCCCAGCGAAGCAGGAGTCATCTTGTCTTAGCAGGTGTTGGCAGGATGGTAGTTTGCGAAAGCGCATACAGAACGTGCAAGAAGGTTGTTCATTCGACGTACGCCAAGCCAATAAAACCTGGTCAATAACGTGGCCTCGTTGCTCTGTCAAAGTTCAACCACCCACACGAACTTCGGCTCAGCAACAGTCACCATTGTCATACAGCATGCTCCAGGAAAGAAATGGAATAGAATATAACAAATCAGGAAAGGCTAAAAGCCTTACAAAAAGAGATACAGAATGGAATGTCCGGACGCAAAGGTTTTGATGGTCCTCATCCCGTTCCGAAGTCCATCGAACTATCAGCAAGAATGCGCTACTACCAGTGTTGCGGCACTCTCGCAGAGTTGGGTCAAGGAGAAGTATCATCGGTAAAGCGGAACCGGAGTGAGCGCGTTGGGCGACCACAATGCGCGCTTGCGCACTTCTCGAGGCCCGCATCCTCCTGCTTCGTGGGCCAGCCACGCCCCGATCCGGAATCTGGTATATTTGACAGAAGGCATGAATTTACGACCGCTCGCCCAGAACGCCTACTATCGACCAGGGTATCCCATCTCAACCGGAGATTTAGGCTCTTGAGAGGGTAGTTCGTGAGGTTGATAATGACCCTGGAGCTCAGAGATGTGATATTCGTATGCTTGAGGAGATTGATTTGTTTCCATCGGTTTGGGTTCGCTTTCGGCCACCGGAACGGAGGCGTTAGGTGTGTTTGCTCGCTTTCCATTCCTTCGGCGAAGCAACAGCATGGCGAAGATGAGCGCCGCAGTACCGATCACACCGAGTGTAACACCCAAGCCAATACCGATCTTCTCGCCTGTTGACATTCCGCCGTCTCTGGCAGGGCCGTTCGAACCGGACGAAGTTGGTGACGGGCCGCTTGTCGACATAGCTGGCGATGCGGATGTGAAGGACGAGCTTGCGAAGCTTGTAAAACCACCGGAAGGGCTTGGTGTAGAGGTCGGAGATGCACGAGCGACGTTGAAGCCCACTACTGCGATAGCTCCGACACTCGAATCTCGCGCTGCCGTCGTTGTCTCAATAGTCCAGTCGTTGGACGAGCCATAAGGTGTAGATGCATATGTCAAGACCATACCCTTGGGGACGGTGGAGACGCAGTCACCGTTGACGGGGCCGCTTGTGTGGAACGGGTTGGTGTAGCCTCTATGAGCGGGTAAGTTCAACGCCGCAAGGGTGAGGATGGCCAACTTACGAGGGACAGCACATAATCTGGGTTGTGGAGGTATCCGTAACGTAGGTCATGACGGTCGTCCACAGATTCGGGCATATTAGGGGCTGAATGCTCAGCGCTGTATGCTCCTCACCGCCGACACCCAGTCGTGCCTGTTCCCACCACGTTGTCACCGCGGAAGGTACGCAGTCGACATTCTCATCGATGTCGAGACCATAGCCTGGATCAAACGCTACTAGACTGGGTCCGTTGAGCCGGAAGATGGATTCGCAGCCAGATGATGGCGTGAAGGTACTTGTGAGCGGAATCCATGAGGTTACTTCACCAGCGTGAGTCACCGGCGTAGCTGGCATCAAAGAGAGATCTGTCATCGTACAGTAACCTCCGGGGTTGGATTATCTGGGCTGTATGGGTAAAAAGGCTGGTCTCGTCTACGAGACGATGGGTATCACTGACTGACGGAGTCTCACTTCATGGTACCAGGGCAGGGGATCAGGCGCGTCCCCTACGGGCGTTCGCACGCCTGCGCCGCACGAAAACTGGATGTCACTTGTATTGGTTCGCGAACGCTTTGATCATCAATTCGCCTTCTGATTAGCCTGCTGCAATGATCATTTGAGACATGCAGTACGCACGGTCTCAATTCCCGGCGCTAACGTGGGAGTGTGGCGTGGTTGTAATCCTTCTGTCGAACCGAAGGGGGATGCCAACAATGGCTACCTGTGAAAACTCGATTCTACTTCTTCCCTACTCATCAAATCTCGACTTCTTAGTATGTCGCGTTCTTCTGTGCGCAATCGCAAACGCGAGGCGAGCCATGCTCGAAAGGCTAATGGTCATACGACATCCTCGCCAATTTCATCCCCCTGGTCGGTTCCCAAAACTCCATACCTCACAGCGGTGATTGTCCTCGGAGCCTCTGTCTGCCTTTGGCTTTCAACACAAGCCATCCCTTCGACTCTTACTCGGAAGTGGCTACCCACCCCGCCTAGCGAGTGGGAAAATCGACGACAGCAAGTCAAAAATGCTTTTGTCAGTAGCTGGGACGCGTATTCCAAATACGCTTGGGGTTTGTGAGACCCTTCCCGCTGTATGAATCTCACGCTTATACATGATGTAGGCTATGATCAATTTCACCCCATCGCCAAGAAAGGCTCAATGATGAGTCCGAAAGGCTTGGGTTGGATTATCGTTGATAGTCTCGACACGATGATGATCATGAATCTTACATCGCAACTAGCCGATGCAAGGATTTGGTTGCATCGCAGCCTAGATTATGAGCAAGATCAAGATGTCAATACGTTTGAGACCACCATTCGCATGTTGGGCGGTCTCCTCTCTGCGCACTATCTCACGACAGTGCTGCCCGGTGTTTCTTCGCGAAGAGACAGCATCTATCTCACCAAGGCTGTGGATCTAGCCGACAGACTTCTCGGCGCATACGATTCGCCGTCCGGTATACCATACGCAAGCATCCACTTGGCAAGCCGAAGAGGGCTTGTATCACACGCCGATGGCGGGGCTTCATCGACGGCCGAAGCGACAACACTGCAGATCGAGATGAAGTACCTATCGAACGTCACTGGCAACGAAATATACTGGCGAAAAGCGGAAAAGGTTATGGAGGTTGTCGACAGGGTCAACGTGCACGATGGTCTGGTTCCGATCTTTATCACGCCCCATTCCGGTCAATTCACAACACGAGAGATACGTCTTGGAAGTCGAGGCGACTCATACTATGGTAAGCTATCTAATGCATGCAGTCGTTGATTCCATGCTAATTGTCGCAGAGTATCTCATCAAGCAGTACCTACAGACTTCCGAGCCGATCTACCTCGAGATGTGGGAGGAGGCTTTGACAGGCATCCAGAAACATCTCATCATCCCTACCAAGCATGCAAAGCTCAGCATCGTCGCTGAATTACCCAGCGGGATTGGCGGCTCTCTGTCTCCAAAGATGGATCATCTCGTTTGCTTCCTTCCCGGTACCATCGCACTCGGAGCAACAAACGGACTCACCGAGGCTGAAGCCCGCCGCCTACCCAGCTGGAACACCGAGAAGTCGCAACAAATGGAATTGGCAAGGGCGCTTACAAAGACCTGCTGGGGCATGTACAAAGTGACCGACACTGGTATAGCACCGGAAATCGTCTGGTTCCGCGCGAGCGACGAGTCGTTGCAGTCCAGGAAGGATATGCCGCGCGAGCCCTTGGCGAGCAGTTCAAACTCTGAAGAGGTTTGGAAGAAAGACTTCAACATCAAACCCCTTGATGCGCATAATCTCCAGCGGCCGGAGACTGTCGAAAGTCTGTTTATGATGTGGCGCATTACGAAAGATCCCATTTACCGAGAGTGGGGTTGGGAAATCTTCCAAGCCTTCTTGGACTACTCCACGGTTCCGTTGGGAGAGGGCTTCACTTCTCTCAACAATGTGAATGCCATCCCGCCTCCGCGACGAGACAACATGGAGAGCTTTTGGCTGGTACGTGACACGTTGATGTATTTAGTCTTCGTACTGACATGTTCTGCTAGGCCGAAACGCTCAAGTATCTATACTTGCTCTTCTCGCCGGACGACGTTCTTCCTCTCACTGACGTAGTGTTCAACACTGAGGCGCATGTGTTCCCTAGAATGGGCATGGGCAAGTTTAAGACAGGTTGGCAGCGCAAGCCAAGGAAGAGTGCGTGAGGCCTGTGAACACGAGATGTTGTACTAGCATTGAGATCATCGATGCCTGGAACAAGCATACTTTGGGGCGCTGGCGCACCAAATACGTATTAGTGCATATGAAACTAAGCGCCACAAAGTTGAGCTTAATTTGAGCCTTCTGCTAAATCTTCCTCTTATCGACCTCTGGCTTCCGCGCCATCACCCAAACAAACTCAGAATCGTAGTCTGGTTCATCCTCGTTCAAATTGCCATCGCCTGCCTTTACTTTCTCCACCTCCAACAGCTCGAAACCTATTTGTTCCAGCATTTCGCAGTTCTCATGCACTCCATAACTACTCCAAAACATTCCGTACCCCATCATCTCGCCATGTATCTCTTCTTCATCAATACCCGCAAGGTTGAAAGCGAAGAGACCTCCAGGCTTCAGCCAGCTATAGATCTTGACGAGCATGTGCTTTAGTTGGGAGCGAGGGAGGTGGAAGAGCGTGTAGAAGCTGAGTACACCGTGGAAGCTCTCGGATTCGAACACGAGTGTGGTCATATTACCAGCGATGAACTTTGCACGCGGGCAACGAGCTTTAGCCATCTCGATTTGGTTCGCAGAGATATCATTGGCTGTCACTTGAGCTCCGTGGTCAATCAGCATGCTCAGTACTGGTACGCCTGGGCCACAGCCGAGTTCTAGAACGCTTGGGGAAGGTGGCAAACTGTCAAGTAGTTTCCTTGTGTACCTTTCGCGTGGTGACCTATCGCTTTCGACCCATTCTAGATACCATTGTGCAATATGGTCGTAGGCGTGTTCGACGATACGTTCGGGTGTTTCAGACATGTCGGCGGATTGTCTGATGAGCAGCTGCTCAGAAAGGTGGCGGGAAATGCGTGTGCTTGTTCCGGTTCGACGATACTGCGGGCGAAGTCAGTTAATCGATGCGTTGATGCCTGGCACGATGGGGCGACACTAACTTCGGGCGTACTTTGGAATCGGATGATAGTTAGCGACACGAATGACTGTCGGGTCAACGCGCTGCAAAGACGCTCGTGAAGTTCAGAGCAGATCCTGTTAAAGGATACGATCTGGTTATTGGGCAACTTATCCAGTACTTTATTGACTTGGTGGTCGTAGGAACTCCGCACTTGCAGCGGAACACCGCAATTACATGGTAACTCCGCACTCATATGCGGAAAACACCGTCGAAAGATGTCTAACATGTTGTACACTGTTTACAAATGCTGCAGAGTAATCAGTGTGAGGTGGAAGCCTACCGCCCACAGTGCTCCTCTCCAAAATCAGCATAGTACCGTGACCTTCATGACGTGAATGCCGAACTACATCGTACCAAGCAGTTATTGGAAACGCAACTAGTGATAATACTTGTGTTTTCAGGGCGTCAAGCCGCTGACTATCAAAGAACAAACTGGTTACGCCTAACCCCGAAGTTCCCCGGTTCTAGCCGCACATGCGAAGCATCGGGATTCGCGCTTCTTTGTCTGACATAAATCTGGGGTAGCACATACCATGAGTAGCTCAGCCACGACCCATTGCGTTCCTGTCGTACAAAACATAGTGCTTGAAAGTCTTTGATCGATTCGAATGTGCGGAGGCGGCTTACGACACATGTCACTTTTAAGATCGACCCGGTGCAACTTGTTTTACAAAGCAGCAAGACACATTTTCTCTTTCTGGGCAGATACTGCGAAGCTATGCAAGCCTTTGGTCGCACTGAGATATTATCTTCTTACGTCCAAGCAGCAATCTGGCAGAACACACGTGATTCTGTGCGGAAGGAGGTTGTATAAAGGACAGCTAGATCTTCTTTGCCTAGAGAAAACCAGCACTGGACGTCAACCATACAGCTACCGTTTCGCTTCTTACCTCTTTCCTCCAGATATCAACATGAGACTCTCTATCACAGTACGTTGGGTGCAAACCCTACACCTCCGGTTACAAGTGGTCACACAACACACATATTAACCTCTGACGTACCAAGCAGGCCATGCTGTTGATCGGCCTCGCAAGCCCACTCACAGCTGCCCCTACCCTCGACGTCCGCCAAACCAACGCAACCCACAAAATCACCGTCTTCGTGATGGATGACTGTCTGAAAACATTTCCGCCTGATCCTGATGCGCCTACGGTGTTCAAAGAACAGGACGTTAAATACGGACAATGCTACGACGCGGTCGACTCCAACTGGTTCTTCAGCGGGTTCCTCAGTGCGGAAAGCGTCGCCTTGGCAGGGAGCTTTCAGCCACCAGCAGCTGACAACGTGATCTGCGAGACGAGAGTCTATTTCCAACCCAATTGCGGGGGAGACCCAGCTTTGACAGACAACTATTCGGGGAAGTGTGTCAATGCGCGTTTGAACGTGCCCGATCAATTGGCTGATTTGGCCGGGCGAAGTATCAGGGTGGATTGTTGCAAAGGTGCGGCTGATGGGAAGAGGTGTTTGTATGTTCCAAAGTGAATGGAAGGCTGAGGGACGAAGTCGGCAACGTCTGATTTGGAGTTGTGGTGTCGATATACTGTTGATGGAACGCGGAGAACGGTATTTCGAGATGGCTCTTTCTCTGTACTCAGAACACTCATTTGGTTCTTTGTTTCGTTCTTGTCTTCCTCAAGCATACTGCAAGAAGCTTCCACCTTCTCGCAACGCCTTGCGAAAGTCAACCTAGCTTATACACAATGTCAACAATCTTGCAGGCAGCCTGTGTCGCGCAACTTTTACCCAGATAGGCAGTAGTTGCCCATGTACGAATGCTGAGAAGTGAAGTCTGGTTGCGATATCAAGTTCCGCATGCCGTAGGTACTTCCGATGCCAACGAGCAGCACAACATCGCTTCGGCGCGGCCGCGACTAACCAATACGCGAGGTCGAAAAAGAAAAGTAACTTCAGACGACAGCCACAACAACCACAAAACACTGATGTCGATGACAGACAAGTCTGGACTTCGTCATCAGTTCACGATGTGGTTCAGGTCGGCTACTGCACGTACTCTTACGGCACATATGCAGGTCGCACCTCCGCTCCGGTCGCCTCGCATGACCGATTCCACGCTATCGGTCCTACCTCGTATAGAAATTCATTGATAAATTCCTTCGGTTGCCGGTGCGAATGGTCCCGCATACGCGCATCGGAAAGATCGATTTGGGGATCAGTACAGCCAGGATGATATCGCAGGCCAGCAGCCAACATCGCTCAGATCAAACTGGAGGCATCGTTGTGGCAACGTCCCCTTAACGTGTGCGTCTCGCGTGCAGATGTAAGCTGCTTTGTTCCTGCGTCGATCCCCGAAAAACTCTATTATTAGCTAGCCCTGCTTACACCTTGGCATGGTGGTGGGGTAAACTGTAGTCTGTACCGTAGCGGAACAACGCACGCGACGTGTTGTCTGATTGAGAACGAACGACGGCTCGGGAATGAGTCGATGATAATTGCCAGTCCGTCTCCCCTAGTGTGAAGCAGCTCAGTACAGCGATAAAGAATCGTGCGAGGAAGCGAGCAAAACACGAAAGTAAATCTCGGTAAGCAACCTAATCGAGTGCCGAACAACCGCGACCATTGCGCTCCAGGGCTCTTAATGCGCGAATTGTTCGGTAATAATTTCTTCCGTCTGATGTTCTCATTGGGTCAGCGCAAAGCTAAAGCCGTGGACTAGAAGAATGCAACGACAAAGCTATTCTTATCGCCTCTTTGTTGACCGGCTACCTATCTTAGCATGAGGATACAGAGTCTTGGTGGTGTACGCTGTACCTGGGCGGGCCAAAATAAGGTAAGGCTCGAGCGAACGCCGAGCTGTCCGCAAAGTCTTGACATGAGCGCTATCGCCGCTCAGGGGCAGGATCGCCGTCGCACAAAAACCGTCGTGTGCTAGCGCTGCAGAGAAATTTGGGACGGCAGCGTGCGCGTGGCCGCAAGTTTTGTGGGTGTGCTGTCAGGGACCAACCAGGGCCAAACACTGCATGCTTGCCCTGGATGGGACTCGGGACTGCCGCTTATGACGCTGGAGCCCGCTATTTTCTTTATTTGTTGACGGATAGGCGTTGTGGGCTTGGCCAAACCTGGAGTAAGACGGAAGGATGTCGGCACTGCAAATTCTCGTGATCTCGAATGAAAGGCCGTTTCGTGGCTTGAGGGATGAAGAAAAAGTCCGTTCGCAGCGCGCTTCGGTTGGAGGCTGCCGATTTATCTCCCGGCGAATCAGGCGACCATGAGCTCGTTTAATGGCTAGCGGTGCGTTATTGGCGCATGGCTTTTCAATCGATCGCATGTGCAGCGCATGAGCAAAGTTCTGGCATCGCGGCTGACTTTCCTGGAACTGCCAAATGCGATGGTGTTCTCATTGGCGGGGCCAAAGACTTGGGCTGTGTGTGTATGGCAGCCAATCCTGTGGGAATCCAATACGAGGGCCGCCCCTGGGCAAGGTCTTGGGGGATGAACACATGATCGCCCAACGGATAACAGATCCCAGGCAGTTGGTAAACGTCCTATCGCATTGTGGCGCGCCGTCAGTTGTAAAGCGCATGGTGCCTGTTGGCTAGTTCGGCTGTAAGATCGAGCCTGATTAAACCCTGTTAGCACCAGCGATATGGGCACAGTCAGTATATAGACTCGGGGTGCCCCTCTGACCCTTGGCAGATACTCAATCGTATCCTTCCGTCACTCGCTTTTACATTCGCGCGACTGCGTTTGCCATTCGTTACTCTTGTTGAAAGTCGCCGGTCATTCAGTACTACACCGTGTAACAATCGTGTAATACCTATAACCATCGCTCGGTACCAGAAGATCTACTACTCCCACGACACACCACATCTCAACAAAATGTCTCTGAAGTTCTTCTCCCTCGCTCTTGCGGCCGTCGCAACTGCGTCGCCATTCGATTCCATGGCGAAAGCCACGAACGACGACCCTTACGAGGCATGCCAGCCGCAAGGAGCGACAGGCGCAACTCCACCAACAGTCGGCACAGAGTTGAGCTCCCTCTATACCGATATTCTCTCGTCGATCCAGGGCATCTCTTTCGACAAGCGATCTGTACACGGACGTGCGGACGGTTTCGGTTGCCGTCAGAGCCTAGACTGCGTCAACGTGAAGAACATCAACATTCCCATGTGCTACGACAAGTTCACCACCAACTTCCAGTTCCCAGACGGATCTTACGGAAACGTCGCTGCCGGAACCTACAGCTCCGGCGGCACCGATGTCAACCTCGTCAGCGGAGATTACACAAAGGACGGCCAGAGCGCCAACATCTACGCGAACAACGAGGCTGAGAAGCCAAACACTTCGACCCTCTCGGTCCCTGCACAGTACACCGGTACTGGTGTTGGTGGAGCGGTCCCAGTCACAGAACTCGGAAAGGTCATCGTCTACACAACCACTGTCCCGGCCGTCACATACTCGGCGCCGACAACTGTCGCGGAGACTGTCGAGACGGCGACTGTCAGTGGAGTAGAGGTCAAAACCACCGTACCCGCTACCACTGTTACGCAAGCCACAACGATCGCCGCTAAGACCAACGTTGTGACACAAACTCCTGAAGCTTCCGATGCCTCGCCGCAATCTACTGGAGCCGCCGGACAAGTGTCTGTCGACACAACAAGATCCTTTGGAATGTCGGTGGTCGGTGCTTTGCTATACGCGCTTTTGTGAGCAGTTTGCTTTCGGGAGTCATACACGTCGCAGTCAGTGAACTGTTTGGATAGAATGGCCTCAGGAGTTGTATTCGAGGCAATCCCGAATGGATGATACCCGCTGGAGTCCTAGCACATGCATGTCGTATACATCCTGTGGCAGTCCAGTATTGATGCGCCACGCTTAATGAATAATATCGTACCCTTGATATGTTTGTCTTTTCTTTCTCTCAATTGAATTTCGACAACACATCCTTTATCTTTCTCACTTCCTCGGCGTCAGCATCTTCTCCAGGCATTGTGATGGCCGCGGAGTGAAACCATTCTATTTTGGTCCTCCTCTTGAGATGTTCAACGTTGGTACTTCTGACCCCACCGCCAGCAATCAATGAGACTTTTGGACGGCACACCTCTTGCAAGTAACGGAGAACACCAGTCCCTTCCTGCGCGGTCTTCTCTCCGCCACTTGTCAAGATGCTCTTGAAACCGCATTTTGCAACGGTCTCCACGGCTCTCTCTAAATCGCCTGTTTCATCGATTGCACGATGAAACGTGCAAGGAAGCGGAGCAGAAATCTCGACCAGCTCGCGGGTACGAGCCTCGTCTACAAGTTGATTGGCGTCCAAGATGCCAAACACGAAGCCGCTAGCAACAGGCTTCAGCATCTCCAGCTCTTTTTTCATGAGCTCAAACTCTTCGTCGGAGTAGTTGAAGTTGCCTCCCCGTGGCCGGATCATAACATTGATCGGGATCGTGACTTCCTTCCGTACATCCTGCAGCGTGGTGAGGGAAGGCGTTACCCCGCCAGCTGCGTAGTCGGCACACAGCTCGATTCGATCAGCTCCGGCTTGAGCTGCTGCGATGGCCGAAGTAGCATTGAAGCAAGCTATCTCAAGCATTATCGTGTTTGTGGGACGGGAATTGGATGCGTGGGGTGAAAAGAGCAGGTGGGCTATGGTGCTAAGCTGGCAGCGGGCTAGTGCGACAAGTAGATTGGCTGATGACACGACTACGCTCACGATAGCATGAAAATCACACTGCCAAAGTCTTGGTAATGAGATGAACCACAGGATTCATGCTGTCAAAATGCAAAAGAAAATAATAGACTCAAGCAGCAAGACCTAGCACTGCCTCTAAGAGCGCACATATAAAGCCGGGTTCACCATGATTAACTTCTGTGTTTAGAGGTCCACGCCGTCACCTCACCTCACCGTTCATTCCCCTATAAAGTACGAACGGGCCCACTTCATCGCAAACGCGACGTGAAGGTGAGTTCAAAGCTGCCGATTTCCCATCCCTCCGTGCCCTTAACTACCTCACCACCACCTCCTCTTGCTCTTGACCAAACCTTGCACACCACATCCACTTCTACGCCAGAGACGTATAACACCTTCACACAAGCTCCCGCAAAACCCATAAAATATCCCCAAGATGTCCGACACCGACCCCAAAACCCCCAACAAAACCGGCGCAAGCGGTGCCGCCTGGTCTGAAGGCGAGAAAGTATGTTCACTCCACACCCCATCCAATCCCAATCGCTCCAGCTAACCATACCACAGATCGCATACCTCATCGTTCTCTGTGAAAACGAAGGCAAGATCGATGCAAAGATCGGCGTGAGTGCTCTCCTCCCTCTTACACTACCCACCACTCACGAACTACCACCTCAAACCCCAAATCCGCACTCACCAATGTAACTTAATTCTGACAACCCGGCAGAACGCGCCCATCCCCGCCGGCCGCTCCATCATCTCCTGCAAGAAACTCCTCGTGCGCCTCAAAGAGAAGCACAAAGACGACATTGTCAAGATCAAGAACGGTCAGGCCTTTGCCCCTGCCGCTGCTGCTGGAGGCGACGCTGCTGCCACGCCTGAGAAACCCAAGCCCAAAGCCACACCCAAGAAGCGGAAGAGCAAGGTCGATGTCGAGGCCGGTGAGGATGGTGGTGAAGCAGATGGTTCTCCAAAGAAGAAAGCTACGCCCCGGGGTCGACCAAAGAAGAAGGTTGAGGCCAAGGAGGAGGTCAAGGAAAAGGAGGCGCTTGTAGATGAGGATGTGCTGGAGGATAGGTCTGAATGATACGCACTACGCCACGCAAGTATGCGTCGGGGACGTCTATCAGAAGATGTGTGACTGAGTGATCCACACGGCAGGCTCCACTAGGGGCGTATGCAGTCTGAGAGCGACTGTGTTCTTCTTCCCGCTTGGGGGAAGGGACTGGATCTGGACTGGATTGGGAATTGGGTCATTTGTCACCCAAAGAGGGATCCAAAGATCACGTCTGGGAATGAATCCAGATGAATGAATGCATGATACTCTATTCCCTCTTTCGTTCGTACGCTACATCTTACACAGTGAGGAACCATTGCCCTTCTCAGGAAACACTATCTACTCCTCCCCCGCCTCAGCCTCCAGCTCATCCGGCCCCATCTCCTCCCTCGCACCCCCATCCCCACACTCATGAATAATCTTCTTCCAGCCCAACGGCTGACTCGCATCCTTAACATGCTCAATAGTAGGGAAGTAGTGTTCATTCTTCTTCATCGTCGCAACCCACGGCACATTATCAAACGTCATGACCTTCATGCGGAAGTACTCGTTATCTTTAATCTTCTTGATCTCAGTGAGGAACTCGGAGAGGTTGGGCGTGGGCACGTTGTTGACGTGAGTGACAAAGTTGGTGGGCGCGAGGCCGTACATGTAGGCTGGGGAGCCGCGGGCGCGCGACGAGATGTAGACGTCGGAGTGGATTTTGCTGATTTGTTGGCGGACGGCTTGGTGCGGGCGGTGGAAGGTGGCGCCGCAGAAGCTGACGAGGCGGTCGGTTTCGAGGTCTTCGGTTGCGACGGTCGAGACTTTGATGGTCTTCTCCTCGCGCTTGCGCACAACGACGGCGTCGAGGAACTCGTTGTTGTACATGACGTCCAGATCGGGGGAGCGGGTGACGAGCTTGCCGTTGAGCGTGAGTAGGACATCGCCTTCGTTGAGACCGTCGCCGTGGCCTGAGTCGACCTTGCGGACCATGAAGAGTTGGTGGCGCTCTGGGTCGGCTGTCTCGGTCTTCTCGATCCATTCCTCTGAGACGCCCATGACGCGGGCTTGGCTCATTTGCACGGTCTGGAACTCGACGTTCAGGATACGTAGCTTGGGCGTGTTGCCACCGCGGATCTCGTTGAGCACTGGTAAAAGATTGGGTGTTGCAAGGCCGAGGTGGTACTCAACGTCCTTGCCGCTGTGTGATGTCCGCTCGCCCAGGTATGAAAGCCAGAGAGCCTGGACGGTGCCATCCTCCGCGACGAGCACACCAGAGCCACTATGCGAGGCTTGGTTGGTGTCTACGGTGATGGCGTCGAAGTTGGTCGCGCGGTATCTCGGTGTTATTGCGCTGGCTGGGATCGCGACTGTGGTGATATCAGTGACAACAGTCTTTGCTACGACAGGTCGGAAGTTCTGGTTGATGCCGAAGAAGATGGTCTCGGCTCCCTTCTTGATGAAGTCGGTAGCGAACTTGGGTGTCTTTACAGGGGCGTTGACAAGGGAAGCATCGTACTTGACGATGGCATAGTTTTGCAATGGGTGCATGAAGACAACCTTGGCATCGACGAAAATGCTGTCAGCGATGATCAAGGAGATGTCGCAAAGGTCATATGGCAGGATGGCTCGTGAGACGAGAACGAGACCCTGTTCAGCGTCGACAACAAGACCGTAACCCTGTTTGTTCATCTTAGGAAAGCCGTCTAGCTTAATGGGCATAGAGACATGAACGCGGACGAAGCTGCGGACGATGTCTACAGCCTCGGGATAGCTTGAGCTCATCTTGACGAAGTTCGCACGGCGAGGAACTGGGGGCACAGATGGAATGGCATCGGCGAGGGGCTTGAAGTCCCACAGGCCAGTTTCGTCATTACGTGTTGCTACCCGAATCTTTGCATGCCAATGCCTGTCGACAGAAGTAATACTAGTGTTCGCAGTGTGCAGATCGCGCAGATGCTTGTACATCATAACCACTCGCTTGCGATCGGGGATCTTCTTCATGACTTGGATGAAAGTGTCAAGGTCGGGTGTTGGCTGGTTGTCAACTTCCTGAATCAACCACCCTGATGTGTAGCCGTCAGCGAACCTAAAGGAGCCCGCTGCCTCGCAGACGTATACACCTGCGTTCTTGAGCGAGATAGCGTAAAGACGCGCTTGCTGGTACGAGAGGTCGTGGAAAGACGCGCCTGCGACGGAGACGAACTTGTCGGGGGTGATGGCATGTAGGTCGCCAACGTCTAGCTCGACGTCCATGTTCTCTCCAGCACGCTGTATGGTCACAGAGATGGTCTTGCCGACGTTGTCGTCAAGGATCGCATCGAGTCGGACGAACTGTGTAAGCAACTCTCCGTTGACGCGTAGGAGAAGATCACCTTCTTCGACCTTGGTAGATGCGGGCCCTTGAGGAAGGACGACCTCAGCTACGAGCATGCCTGTCTCCTTGGGAAATTGGGTGCGGATCTCCTTCTCCAGCTCAGGCGAGAGACCCAACCTCCGGCACTCGTCGAATGGCTTGAGTATCCACTGAGTCTGAATGGTGCCTCTGGTGACATGTTGGGCTTGGCGGATGAGCTCGAGAGCACGTAGCGGTCGGTCTAGCGGCAGGAAGTAGTCGGTCGCAGCACCGTCAGCACGTCCACCGGCCTGCAGCGCAACAGCAAATCCGTCGCGGTCCACGACAGGACTGCCAGAAGAACCTCCACTCGCTGCCGCTGCCGCCTGGATGTAGTTGGTGTTGAAGTCGGAGTAGCCTTCGCCGTATTCGGGCGCATTGCGATCCAGCCGACTGATGACACCCGACAAGATACTGAGCTTCTCTCCGGCATCGTTACCAACGACGCGAATCTCGACACCGACCTTGGCGTTATCGGGGCGCAGTTTGAGGGCAGTGACGGGCATGTACTTGATCTTCTTGGGGTCGAAGCGCAGGATACCGAAGTCGTGGACGGGGTCGCGGTAGACGGGGTGGACGTCGCACTCCTCGTGGTTGTCGAAGATGCAGTAGCCGATGAAGGGGCCGGCGCCGACAACGTGCCTGTTGGTGAGGATGTAGCCCTTCTCGGCGTCGACGACAAAGCCCGTCGCCTCTGAGCTGATGGCCGGGTCCGTGTCGAACGAACACGTCTGGCAGAAGTGTATCGACACGACGCTCTTGACCACGTTCTCAATCGTCCGCTGCCATTCGGCCGTGTCCTGCCCAGTGACGGCGGTGATGTGCGCCGACGCTGGGAGGGCGTCGGGGGAGCTGTGGGCGCTGTACTCGCTGCGCGCATCGTCCATGGACTCCTCCAGGTCGGGCGAGTGCGACATGACGCCGTTTGAGGTGTGCGAGTCTACTTCGGGCTTGATCTGCTTGTTTGGGCGGTCGGTTGCGGGCGAGGTTGGCGGTTGCTTGCGCTTGCTTGTGCCATTTTGTTCCATTGGCAGCGAGGTATTTATAGGCGGCGACGTGTGAAGGGAGCGTTTGCCGAGGGGGTGTGCGCTAGAGCTAGACAGCCTCGTGAGGTGCGGCGTGTGAAAGAGGGAGCGCGGGCGTGATGCGGACAACGGTAGGGTGCGTGAAGGTGTCGCAAGGAAGCTTCGTTTGCAGGCGGCGAGTGAGACTCGGCCAAGCAGCATGCCAATCGGGATGACGCGCGTAAACAAAGGAAGCAGGCGCGATGCGGCTGCTCTGAATTAAATGTAGAAGGCGCAAACAAGAAGGCAAGAAAGGCAATTGATGAGTACGGAATGGCTTTCGATCGGCCAAGGATGAAAGTGCACGAAGAGCCCTGCAGCTGCATGCGCCACGGTCCCCGGTCCCTAGTGCCATCGCGAACGTCAGACTCCGCCCGGAGGTGTTGAAGCATCAACAAAGGTCGTCAATTACACAACAAAATCATCATGAACATTGAAGTGAGCAATAGGGATCACTAGCTGGTTCGACTGCTGAAAGACTGCGACGAATACTTCGTGAGGCCTGAAACCGCAGACTGCATTCTAGAGGTGACATCATTCACCCGTCAATCGCGCATTGTTTCAGGAACGCATCTGCACCCGCATCAAAGACGCATCACTTGATAATGGCTAGCTTTGCAATATCTGTTCAGTTGTTCAACATAAGAATGGAACCTTTCGCCGCATGTCACCTGTCAGGGTCTCGGTGTCACCCACCCACCTGTAGACGCATTGAACGGCCAACTCTCGGATGAAAGCCTTCCAACAGCACGTCGCAAACAAACCAACTAATACAGCCATCTAAACGTCCTCGTGTGATGATCGGTCGGCATCTAGAATCTTTGATATATCGAAGGCCTTCATACTTCGGGTTCGCAGAGTCACAAATGGTTGTGATATTCTCGTTCGGGGGTGCCTCGTCGTATGACCATGCTAGGCGTTGCAGAGTTGAAAGTCGCTGGGCTCTCTGCGAAGCATATCCCCGACTGAGTGGAGCCTGTGACTGCCTCTAGAGTATTGCTAATCGAAGTTGTTGTTCTGACGACGCGCCCAAGCTGCCCTTGTCCGGTATCGTCTAGAATGCTTGCGATATCTCTTGCTTGGGCGTGGTTTTGCGCACGCATTGCGGAAGATGTCAATGGCTCGGAACTCTAGGCCGACGGGACCCAAACAAAATGGAAGATCTGAGTACCCTCAAGTGACTGTTGGTTGCACTTCTCCCTCCGATGATATACCGAACACCTCTAGGGTCTAGTCTGGTACTTGTAAGCCAGAAATGCTCGACTATACTTGGGATATCTCTGGCTGGAATGCTCCCGCCCAAACCACGACCAGGTTCCAGTCTGAGCCAAAAGCGAAGTCTCTTCCTCGAGGCTGATATGCAGATTCTGGTATCACGGATGACCTAAGGCCTTTCAGTTCCGGTCCAACCGTTTGGAAGGATATGGCTATCTTTAGAGCATGAGTGATCAAGAATATACCTCAGTCCAGGAAAGGGCTGGACATCCACCCATAGCAGGTGATGGAAGTCAATGACCCAGGAATCCACATTGTGTCAGCAGTTTGCAGACTTTCGTCTCAGGACCGATGTAGGCTGCAGGGTGTTCAGACTCAGTCCAATCAACTGAACGGTTGTGAAGAAAGTGGATGACCCAGGAGTCTACGTTGGGTCAAGAGTTTGCCAAACTTTGTTCCACGACCAATGTAGACTGCAGGGTGTCCAGGTTCGGTCCAATCGTTTGGATGGTGGCAACGAAAGTCAATGACCCAGGAGTCTACGTTGGGTCAAGAGTTTGCAGACTTTCGTCTCAGGACCAATGTAGACTGCAGGGTGTCCAGGTTCGGTCCAACCGCTCGGAGGGCTGTAGCTATCTTTAGAACATTAGTAATCTGGAATCCAGCTCATTCCAGGAAGAAGCTGAACGCCGCCTATAGCAGATGGAAGTACTCAAAGACCCAGGAGCCTACGTTGCATCGGGATATCACAAGACTTTCGTTCTGAGACCCACGTAGGCTGCAGGATGCTCCGGTTTTCCTGCGCATGGAGTGAACCCAAGTTTGAGTACTTGCTATAGACTTCACATAGCGAGGCCTTGATGCGCCATATCCAACGCAAAACCTTAACACCATGGGGCCTACATCGACCTTGGACCATCCAAGTTGCTAGTTTTCAACTTGATGTAGGCTGCAGGCCAGTTCTCTGACTCAACCGTATGGCGGGGTGTGACGAACTTCAGTGTATTATTAATCGAGATTTGAAATGTGTTGATACGCTGTAGTCTGCAAAGCGAAAATCTGGTAGGAGTATACCAAATTATATTATTGGTAGATTAGTGGTTCGGAGGGGTCAGGGGTGTGGCGGTGTGGCGGTGTAGCGCCGGCAAATCGTACCATGGATGCGTTCAGGGGCCTGTGCGCGGGAGTGGCCTGTGCGCGCGGAGCAATAACTCGCGTTCTGAACTCCGCTCTCCTCCATCAACTCTACACTCTTCTCTCACCAGACCCCACACTTGAAGCCACACCACAAATCACAACAATGACTTCATCAATCTTCTACAAGTTCAAGAATTCAAGGGAAAGCGAGCGCATCATCTTCAACGGCACCGATTTGAGCGTTTTCGAGCTCAAGAAGGAGATCATCAGCGCAAGCGGCCTGGGCGATGGCTCCGATTTCAACTTGCACATTTATCCGCAAGATGAGCCCAACTCTGAGCTCAAGGACGATACCACTTTAATTCCGCGCTCATCCACAATCATCGCAATTCGGCTGCCCGCTCAAAGAGGACAAGGTCGAGCAGCCCGCTACGTCACCGGCAAAGCGCCTTCGCGCGCAATTTCTTCACAATCCAAGCCAGTTCCTTCTCTACGTGGTGGTCATATCGAAAATGCCGAAGATCCTGAAGCCGCATTCTGGGCCGAATCAGCAACTGCCTGGGATGCACAGAAAATGGCACTTTCGAACGCAAAACCGGTCTATCGCAAAAATGCCTCGAAAAATGTCATTATACCTTCCCACCCCCCGCCTTCTGGCTATGTCTGTCGGCGCTGCAACATAAAGGGCCACTGGATTCAAGCCTGCCCAACCAACGACGATCCCGATTTCAAGCCTGTTTTCCAAGCCAAACGTACTACTGGAATTCCCCAATCTCTCTTAGAGAAAGTTGAAAAGCCAGTCGACGAAGAGGCTGCAAAGGGCGTCATGTTGAACCCCGAAGGACACTATGTGAAGGTCTTGGCAGATACCAAAGCCTGGGCCAAATTTCAAGAGAAAACCAGCAAATCTCGCCAACAAGCCGCCAACGCCAATGCAGCAAGCAAAGAGCTTGCCGAACGAGGTCTGCAATGTCCGCTCGACGATCAGAGATTTGTCGCTCCCGTCAAAACGCCTTGCTGCGGCAAGACGTACTGCCGCGAATGCATCGACAATGCTCTCGCAGAAGGAGATCTAATCTGTCCAAACTGCGGGAAGGAAGACGTATTGATGGACGACCTTGTACCTGACCACAACATGGTCAAGTTCCTTAGAGATTTCGACTCCGAGAAAGCAGTTTTAGCCAATAAAACAAGTTCTCTTTCAATTGCTTCCGCCACTGCTACTACTACCGCTGCACCTGACGAAGTCTCCGATACTGACTCAAACTCTTCAAAGAAGCGCAAGCAGCCTCCCACAGACATCAAGCCTCCCACCGCGCCAAAAGCCATGCGTCAAGCCGCCGACCCCGCCTCGAAGATGGAACAAGACTTTATACAACAGATGGAGATGCTCAAGAACACACCGATGAGCGCCATGGGAATGCCGATGGCTATGCCTATGCAAATGGGTATGCCTCAGCAGATGGGCTTCCCGAACGGCTACCAGATGGGCTTCCAGCCGCAGCAACAACAACAGCAGATGCCGCAGCAGCAATGGTATCCCCAGCAGAACTTCGGCTACGGCGGCCAGCAGCAGTACAGTCAACAGTACGGCCAGCAACAACCTCAGCAGCAACAGTACGGACAGGGCGGACAAGCGCAGACACAGGGACAAGGACAAGGACAATGGGGCAGCGCGCAGGGCCAGGCGCAAGGGCAGCAAGACCCCAACGATGCGTACGACAGGCAGCCCGTCAACCCTCGCGGTCGCAACCGCAGGTCTCGCGCACCAGACTACCGCTATCATTGAGCAGCAGGAACGTCTCCAGTCCACTCTCATCGTATCACGACACTACCACACTCGAAACCACATCACACATCACAACAACGGCTTTATGAACTTCTACGGCGAGCATCGGCATTGGGCGGGCATTCACACGGCGTTACTCTCACCTTTACGACAAGCGACCATGGGCATGCATCAAGGGCGGACAGGGAAATACTGGTCTAGCATGAGCGAGGGCGTTTTTGACATTTACATGTTCACGGCGTTTCTGGGATTATTTTGACTTTTTATCGGGGTGTTTCTGAGATTGCTTTGGCTCTCACTCGGCGTTTCTGGGAATACATTTGACTTTTTTCTGCGTGCTTTACGGACTTCACATTAGTTAGTTATCATGAAATGCAAACCACAAAACACACAAAATTACACCTCTTCTGCTCTGTTCTCCGTGAAGACAGCTCAAAAAGCAATGCGGCGTGCAGACTACATGGGTTCACGAGCTCATCAGTTGCGAAGTGCTAGTGCGATGTAGCCCTGACGCTTCACCCTCATCACCTGCCCAAGAGGGACACTACTACATATCTGATGACCCCATACTGACTGCATGGGCCCACGAGCTCATCAGTTGCGACGTATTAGTGCGATATAGCCCTTACGCTTCACTATCATCACCCGTCCAAGAGAGTCAGTGTTACATATCTGATTACCCCATGCCGACCACATGGGCCCATGGTCTCATCAGTTACGACGTGGTGGTATGATGTAGCCCTTACGATCCGCCCTCATCGCCTGTCTAAGAAGGTTAATGTGCATATCTGATAACCCCATACCAATTACATAGCTCCAAGATCTATCATCCGTGACGTGAGAATGCCATATAGCCACCAGCCTTCCCCGTCATCATCCGTATAAGGAAGTCATTCTCATTTACCAGTTACCCTACACAGGCTACGTAGTTCTATGATAGATCATTTGCGATGTAACAGCGTCAGGTAACCGCCAGGCAACACGCTTATCACGCCCCGTCCGAGAGGTCTCCTGCCTACTTGCTTGCCCTGCAAAGGCTACACAAATGGACGATGTAGCGTTTGTGATGAGGGAGTATTGTGTAGTCGCCAGACATCACGATCATTATGTCCTATTCGAGCGGTCTCGTGTCTGCTTATCGATCCCACACATGCTACATGGGTTTACACTATATTATCTGCAATATGTGAATGTGATGTAGCCGTCAGGCCTCCTTGCCATCATGCCGCATCCGAGGGGCCGCCTGCCTACCCGGATACCCCACAAAGGCTACATGAGTCCCTATTATGTTATATACAACTAGAGAATGTCATGTAGCCATCAAACTCCACTGTTGTCATGTACCGTTCGAAGGGTCTCCTGTCTTCCCTGACACCCCACACCTTACCCTTATCCATCCTACGACCTCATCTTGATACTGACATACATTCCCTAATTATAGGAGGCTCACTCTCGATGCTGTCAGACCGGGGTGTGAATGTTGTTGCGAGTACGCGGCATAGTGGACAGATTAGGAATACGAGATCGATCGAGCGCCTTTGGGTGTTGCTGAGAAACCAGATATCGTGAAGTGGTCAAATCGACACGAAAGGGGTAGGGGATTGCGGACACTGTACTATTCCTCTTCTTGCTCATGCTGCACACTTCTGCGCTTTGTTATGTGAATGCTATGGTATTCGGGAGTGCTGTGAGGACGGCCCCTGTCTGATCCTTTCGTGTCCTATTCTTGTCTCAGTTGAACGTGGAACTACACTTGTCAGATCTAATACACACATCAAGACTGCTCTCTCGGGCCCAGCCTGTATATAACATCCAGTATAATACAATGTTAAAAGACGTAGGTATTGTTAAAGACGACAAGACTAGGCTTGCGAAGATGGAGATGCACTATGAGCAGGCAGACGGCATAGTATAACGATGAGTTCTTCGGGACTTCTCATATGGTAGCAAAGATATAGGCCTCTAGAGGAACGCAACTGGAACATTGCCGATCTTCAGGAGTCTTTTGGGGTTGTGATGAAGCAAAGAGCTCAAGATGGCTTTGGACACGCGTGCCGTCGCGATGCAATGTGGATACGCAGGCTTGGGTACGGATGTCGCTACTACATGTTCAAGTATGCCAAATGGTATGCGAAAAGCCAAGTTACTTTTCGTAAAGTCACGCTATCTAGTACGAGCGTGGCGGAGAAGTGCAAAGAATAGATGGTGTGCACAACCTCAGGCATCGCACGCGAGTCTCGTAAGTGGTCATAAGTCTCGAGCTTTGGCGATGCTGATATGAAGCACGGCATCCACATTCCCCACTGAGCACGGTTAGGAAATGAGATAGATGTGTACCGCGGAAAAGACCAATTTAGCATGGCAATCTTATCGTTCAGTGACCTCGAGATGACGTCGCAAAGGCTGGCTAGGTATGTATCATGTGCAGCGCAGACCATCTGCAGAGTAATCGAGAACCTAAGGCTTATTATTTGCGATATATCCGCAAGATGTCGAATATGCTAAACAAGAAGTGGTCGAGCGGCCTCGTGCCCAGGTGATGCTGATGACTGGAAGAGGCAGCCACTACTCCCAATGAAGGTTAGGCTAGCAATATTCTACCATTCATGGGTCGCTTCTCCATGCTCCACTCCACTCACCATCTCTTGCATTACGATGGAAAATTTATATCGCGTTCGTTGATATCTGTCGACACGGCTTTCTGTGCCAGATGCACGATACATTCGCGAACAACGCAACTTCCCGTTATGGCGTGTACAACGATGCTCGTTTCCTAATCACCTTTGGTCTGCTGATCATGGCTGCACAGAGAATCGCGAGTAGCTTCTACGCGGACCTTGGTAAGGCGACAACGACAAACTCCCCACAGTGAGAATTGTATTCGCGGCGGCGAATCAGGAGGCTGCTGTCACCAATCCAGCCTGCAAGTACCGAGAGAACCATCATCTGATCCACGTGTGCGGTTCTGCTATTCCGGATCTGACGTATCCTTTGGATAACTGACCACTGAGATGGCACTCATTGCAGTTTCCGTTATATTGTCTTTACCTACCTCGCTGATATCGAACCAAGCCTTCCTTCGCTACCGCGCGTAACTGGAAACAGCAGGAAAGCACAATGACGCAGAATGCTATCTCAATATGCATCCCCCATTCAGCGAAAAACTTCATCACCCAACCACATCTTCAAACTATCGTTTCTTCCTCAAGCAACTCGTACCAAACACGCTCTTAACCCAGCCATACAAGATATTACACTACCCACACACCCATCATGGTGGCCTCCGGAGAGCCATTTCTTGTCTTCGAGACACCCCCATCACCGCCGACGATCCGCACGCATCCACATCTTTTCAGTTCACAAACAAGCTATCCAGCGCCGCCGCAACCCACCCGCCAGGTACCATCCCACCTTCTGCGCCCTGGTTCATACATACCACAACTCACTTGTCCGACACCAACTCTACCCACGCAGCAGATTGCGTCTCGCCGTCTACCTGCAGTTCAGTATCCCCAGCCAACTCTCCAACCAAATCTCCAACAAAAACATCCAACCCAACCCGCCCTCCCGGCAAACCACACATACACCGCCCCGACCCGTCCCCCCGGCCTCTCCACCCAACCAGGCCAATACCCTTCCCAACTCTTCGACGCACTCAACCACCCGCGCACATGTCCAGGCTGCGTCCACGAGCGTTTCTACGGCAAGGAATACAGCACGTTTCACTGGCCGGCGTGTCGGTGGCTGGAAGCAAGGGAGAGGATGGGAAATGCGGATGCGAAGGTGGGGAGTGAGGGGTGGAGGAATGTGTTTAAGAATGAGAATGGGAAGTGGAATGTGAGTGGTGAGGGGGTAAGAGAGGGGAGTGGGAGTGGTGGTGGGGCGAATGGGATGAATGGATGCTGGGTTGGAGATGGAGGAGGGGCGAGGCGGGCATGGGAGAGGAGAGGAGGAGATGGAAGGGGTGTGAGGGCGTGTGATAGGGCGCAGACTTGGAGGAGGGAACAGAAATGAGGAGGGGATTGGAGGAGAGGATAGAGAATCAAAGGGGCTGTTCCTCGATAGGGTTCGGATCGCTTCGGCATACGATGCCTGATTCTGTTTCGCAGACTTGTGAACTCAGAGGTCTGGTGGGCATAGTGTAAGAAAGCGCAGGTCTATGCAATGAGCAAAGCAAGACTAAAGGTGTTGGGTAGAGATAAGAATGAACAAAACTGATCGTACAAGTACAAACACCACGTACCTACAACGCCAAAACACAAGATATCCACTCCAATGCTCCTTGACGAATGCATATACTCAACGCCAAACTTCCAAGCCAAAGCCCCCCTAAATACTCCCCCCTGTCTCCGCCCTCGGCCTAAACCCATCCGGCGTAAAAGTCCACCCCCTCCCCTCCGTAGGCGTCATAGCCCTCCGCCTCTCCACCGGACTCCAATCCATCACCCCTGGCGCCGGTAACCCCGCAATCGCAGCGTCATCCCTCGCGCGCTGTCGATCTATACTCTGTCTCTCCAAACTCTGTCTTTCCACCACACCACCACTACCGCCAGCCGCCGTCGCAGCACTCCCCTGCATAACCACGCCGCCCGGACTGCCCAACCCCTCGGTATCAGTAACCAGCCTGACACCCGCGGTACGTTGGCGTTCCCTCTCCTTGACTGCGCGTTTCCCCTCTGCCTTCTTCTTCTCAAATTCGATGATGAGCGTTTTGAAATACGCTTCTGCGGCGCTGGTTGCCGAGTAGTGGACGGGTGTCCAACTATAACTATTGCTCGCCAGCGGATTCGCGCCGTACTGCAGTAACATCCTCAGTGCCTTCATTTCCCCCGCCGCACTCGCATGGTGCAGTGCCGTGTTGCCTTGTAAATCGTTCGCGGAGAGTAGATTCGGTCCGTGGAGTATCAATGTCGGAATGAGATGCAGCGTCCCAGCGCCCGACTGACACGCCAGCATCAGCGCATCGAGCCCAGATTTATTCTTCCAATCCACAGCCTCAGGGAAGCGCTTAGCGAGGTAAACTCCGCATTCCTCCTTGCCCGCAGAAGCCGCAAGCATGAGGGGGGTTTCCCAATCGTTATTCCGGGAAATCATGCCGTCTTCATGGCCGGCGTCGACGAGGAACTCGGCAATGGTCGTGAAGCCATGCTTAGCCGCGAGGTGCAGGGACGTGTTGGAGCGGTCGTCAAAGTCCGGGTTGCGCAGGTACTTGTGGTTGTTGCGGATAATGCGTTGGACGAGGGCGAGGTCGTTGAGGAGGATGGCGCGCCGGAGTCGCCGGGGTACGTCAATCCTGAGGGACGGCATTAGGGACGCGTTCTCGGGCTGGGGGGTACGTGGAGGGTCGCGTTACTCTGTGGGATACGACTTACATGGCTGCGGCAGTGAAACATGGTGGGATGATCAAACGGCGAGGAGACGCGCGGGCAATCGCGTAGTGACGTTGGGAAAGCTGAGCTGTTGTGGGGCGTGGGAGCGTTGGGCTTTGGATCAAGCTGCGGGGACCTTTCACGGAATCTTGCTGCAACTGGCCTAGCACTCGCGTGGATGCGCTGCATGGATCCGTCCGTCAGATTAGCGACTCTTGTAGCATCTGCACTGTCACATGTCACTGGGTATTCAATAGCGTGTCATGACATCTCGGATCTGGTCTATTCATGCATCATTAACATGTTTGTCCCACATTGTCGGGAACTTCTATCAATGCCAGCCCACATGCGGCTATCTTACACGCTCACGGAATGATCGTCCAAGCTGTAATGCCTCTACAAACCTTCAAAGTCTCCAGCCGCATCGTCCTCGTCAATGTCGCCATCTTGAATCTCCTTGGCCAACTCGCGTTCTCTCTCGCGTGCCTCCTGAGCGTTCTTGAGCTCCAGACGATGTTGGTTCATGGGGTAGCGCATGGCCTTGACGCACTCGTCGTGTAGGGTCAAGCACGCCCGAATGCGCTCGTGGAATGCCTCACCAGGCTCGCGGGTTGCATAGATGTCGCCAGCGACCTTGGTCTGCATGAAACCCTTCTCGTGATCAATTGAAGCCTCTATGACTCCGTCGCGGATAGCCTTGGCAACAATGTACTCGGCGGACTCCTCACTCTCGAGGCCAAGGCGAATGCAGATGTCGCGGAGCGAAATGCGAGAGTATGAAAGCGACAACATGCGAATGCCGGTCTTGATGACGTTCTGGCGTAGACGGAGGATCAGGGTGTAGGTACCGTCACGGTGGAAGACGGACGAGGATGTCTGCACAACCTTGAGGAAGCCCTGTAGGTCACCGACACGGACTGCCTGAACCAGGCGGAAATAGGGTTCCATGGCACGCTCCAGACGGGGCTGGCTGAAGACATCGCGCTCGGGGATATCACCCATCAGCAGCTCAACGACTACCAGGAGCTTCATTGAAGCCTGGTAGAAGCCAGTTGCGCAGTGGGCAGAGGGCGACTTGCGGGTGGCGCTGATCAAGTGCTCATGTGCCTCAGTGTAAGACAGCTGGATAGCCCGTATGCGACCAAGGTAGTACAGGTACCTCGCGACCTGGTTGTTGGGGGCGTTTGGTGGGAATTGTGTCTGCGCAACGAGGAGATCGGCTTGTGTGATGTCGGCGGTCGAGAGGTAGTTTCGGAGCAGCAGGGTGGTGACGGACGCCTGCGTGTCGGGGTCTTTCCTGAGCACGGCGCTTCGGAGAGCGGCGAGCAGCTTTCCGCGGATGTTGATGACGGGCGACTGCTTGGACGGGGGCTTGGGGTCCATCTCCTCGTGGAAGAGGGAGAAGTAGAAGTAGGCCTTGGCCGCTAACGAGTCCAGTGTCCGCCTGTTGAGCTCTCGGATCTTGTCTACCAGCGTCTCGGCAAATTCGGCGCCCTCTTCAAACTCCTTCTGATCGTATAGATATACCTGTACCTGTTAGAAATGCACCATTGCTACCGGGCCCAAACATACCTGTATCAGGATGGCTATGTACACGTCCACCTCGGGCAGGGGCTCCTTGGTGTTGTTCTTGTTAAGTTGCACCTCCTCCTTGTACTGGGAAACGACGCTCTGTATCGCCTCGCCGTCCATGCCAATGTACTCGATGAAGTTGCGCGCCGTGGCGTTGTTGGGCGAGTACGTCAGGATGATGACGGAGCATAGTACGCGGTCGGTGAGCCTCTTGCGGAGCGACGATATCGAGCGGAGGGCGCGTAGAGTGAAGCGGGTATCGAACTGGGCGACGGCTCGCTCGAGTAGCACAAAGTTGCTGCGGATGTCTGTCGTCGTCGGATCAGCACGCTGGTACAGATACTTGCACGCCGCAACCTCGGTGGCGATGATGTGGTTGGGGCACATCTTGCGGACCGGCCACGAGGTGGTGCAGTTGGTACAGGGGCACTTTGAGGTAAAAGGCATGTTGACTACTTACCAGCAATCGCCTTCTGCTCGACGTTCTCGGTTTTGGGCTGCTCGCCCTCGACGACGACGCCTTCCATGCTGTCCGCCATGATGGTCGCTCTTGACGTGTAGGTGGAGGGACGGAAGGTGCGGGTGTTTATGGGGGTAGTGGTGGGTGGTGAGGGTGGTGTTGATGCTTTGCGGAGGTTGAGCTCCGAGCTTCACTGACGCCAGCGCGGCGGAACATCGGGGAATAGTTATCCAGCACCGACGCGCCCTTGTTTACCCCCGCGTCATCCCAGCATACTCGATATACGCTCTTTTTCGGCATGGCGCTTCTGGACGCACATTTAGAGCAGATCTCGCTCTGCGCAGCGTCAATCGCAGAATTGCCGTGGGTCTACAGTCCTTCACCCTCGATAGCTTCCGACTGAACACCCCCAGGTTCGCCCCGCCCAAGATCTTCACCAACGCGTTGCTACAAAACCACGATATCACGAGCTTGATTCGAGACACCGAACTTCACGAACGTGCGCTGTTCTCCGTCCCTCCGCCACCAGCAGCCCCGAAGCATGCCGAACCAGCTCCGTCTACCAACAGGCGCAACACCATCTTCAACCCCAATGGAGGCGGCAGCACCAGCACAGGCGGCGGTGGTGCGAATGCCGTACGTGCACCCAGACGTAACACGGCTGTAGCAGCTGTCCTCGGCAATGAGCTAGTAGAGAGAATACGTCGAGGCGGTGGAGGCGGAGCAGGCTCAGGTCTCGGCTACAGAATGTACAACGGCAGCAACAAGAACGAGATTGACGTAGAGTCTCTATTAGAAGGAGCTGAGAAGCTTCTTGGAGTCTAGTACGTCGAAAACCCCGGAACTGTCATCTTTAGCTGACTGTTGGTAGTCCCATCCCAGGTGTCCACGACAAAATCGCAGCCATGCGCCAACGACACGCCCAAGTCTCCGCGTCGCTAGAATACTACGAAAACCGACTCGCCGAGCAACAAGCTCAGTTCGGTAAGCTGAACCGCTCACGAGGTGACTACGCGGACGAGGATATGGAAGAGCTCGAAGAGGAGCCTGAGCCAGTTGTTGTCTTCACAGAGGAAGACCTTCGGCGAGAGGAAGAGGAGACGCGTCAACTTGAGAAGAAGAAGAAGGAGCTTGAAGATCGTGTTACTTCCATGTCGAGAGATATATCTGGTTTGAGGTGATATGGAGCTGCTGAAGAATGCGATTTGAAGTTAGGCTAGGAGTTACAATATGATACCCCATGTTTTCGCCTCAGTGGTTTGGATTACAGGTTGACAGACTTCATGCTTGTTCACGCGCAGAGAGACAATGATGCAATCATTGGTATTCGTCAATCGTTACTAGGGATATTTCATGTACAAAATAGGAAACTTGTCAAAGTCTCCATGCTTTCCGTCACTAGAACAGCGCACCACCCAGCATAGCGCCACCAAGGAAACCAGCTGCAATGGGCAGGCCCGCACCACCTCCATAGCCGTACCCATACGGCCTACCGTACGGCCCAGCAGGACGCATATACCTTACACCAGGATTTCCAAACTGGCGGGCACCATACGGGTTGTACCCATAAGCTCCCCGTGGAGCATACGGGCCATGAGGCGGCTCGATATACACATCCCTGCCCTGGCGGTCCTTGCCCAACAACTGCGGCTGCCCCGTCTCCATAGCGCGTATAAGGGCCTGTCTTGTGCGCAGATGTTGGAGATAAGCCTGACGTTCCTGCTCCGCACGCTGAGAACGGGACTGTTCGCGCTGCTCATGCGTCTGACCGGTGATCTTGTCCTTGAGCTTTCGCGAAAACTTATGTATACCCGTTGGTTCTCCAGGCGCCGCAGCACCTTTACCCTTCGATGTAGGTCGCGGAGGGAGTTGGTCTTCGGCATCCGAGTCCTCAGCTGTGAGGTCCTCCAGTGTCATGGTTCGGTGCATGCGCGTGTGCTTCTTACGCTCCTCGGGGGTCAAAGTGTTGAGGTACTGCTCGTCGTCGTATGGATGCGTCCATATGCTACGTGGAGGATCGGATTTGGTGTCGACGAAGAATTGGTGGGAGGTCTCTGGGTCGAAACTACGGACCCAACCATCAGGGAGCGCGCGCATCTCGTCTTCCATGGAGCGGCGGCGCTCGGGCGGAATGCCATTGCGTTCAGTGCGGGCTGCAGGGCCGTCGGTGGAGACGCGGTGGATGCCTTGGGAGGGTTCGGCGTCGAAGATGGCGGCTTCGTAGCTAGGTGGTGGCTCGTTGGGATGTGAGGTTGCCATTGTGGAGGGTGTAGGTCGTGTGAAGCTTTGAGGGAGGTTCTTGGTACTTTTCTGTAGACGATGTCTTGTATTTGAGGTAGTAGAGCTTATAGGTGAGTAGATTGAAGGTTGTTACACTGTATGTGGATGTAGTGACATCCATGGATCGTTTGGAGAAGGAAGTGGCGTCGATGCTCATGACGTCAATGTGGCCGTGCATCTCAACGGGTGCATACAGTCCATCTAACCAAGGGCGCGCTAAGACATAGCATGCGCTAACGCAAATAGGTAATTTTTAAAACATAGTATACTAGCGTTATACTACCTAAGAGAATTAGCGCACTTAGTAATAAAATTTTTAATTTAAATAATTCTTAGATTTATTCTAAATTAATTTAGACTAGATTACACCTATATTATAATATAGAGCCTTCTTTGCCTATATTTAACGCTAAGCCTAAATTTCTTAACTTTAATGTATTAGACCTAGATATCTATAAAAGATTTAACCTATATTTATTTAGCTCTAGTAAGAGTAATAATAGTAGTGTTAAAGACTAAGTTAAGGTATATAGTTAAATTAATTCTAGAATAATTCTAGACTTATTTAAACTAGAGTATAGTTTAACTTACTTCTAGAAATAGTAGCGCGCCTTTCTTAGAAGCTAGAGTTATTAAGTATACTATATATCTACTCTAATACTCTAGTACAAACTCTAGAGGCTATATCTATATTATTTAAGTTTTAAAAGTAAATAAGTAATATTCTTTAGTTAAGAGAGTATTATAAGATACTAAAAGTATAAGTAGTCTACGCAGACTATTTCTAAATTAATTTAGAACTAATCTAGTATAAGTAGTTTTAATACTATAGAGCTAGCAAAGTAGAGAAGAAGAAGACTTTTAGCTTCTTCTTAAATTTAACTACCTTAAGATAGGTTTTTAAGTACTTTAGTATTAAGACGTACAAACACATTTAGAATTAATTATAGAATTTTATCTACTTATAGATAGATAAAAGTCTATATAAGATACTTAGGTAGATAAAGACGTTTATAAGCTAAATTAAGTAGAATAAAGAGAGAAGAAAGGCTAGAAGCTGCTTTAATAGGCTTTAGCGTTAGTTTAGAGATAGTATTTATACTAATAGAGAGAGTTTCTATAGTCTAGAGTTATTTTAGGTAGAATTAATAGTATATATAGTTAAACTATTTCTAAAATAATTTCTAACTAATTCTAGCAAGTAATAGAGCCTACTTCTTAGTTTATTACTTATAGTAATCGCGCTCTAGATAATGTAGAGCACTATATCTAGAGAGTGCTGCTAAGAATTAATATTACTTATCTATAAGCTCTTCTAGATAGTAGAGTAAAGAGCTCTTATAAGAACTATAATATAGTTAAGCTCTAAATCTTACACTTAAAAGACTATAGTAAGTTCTTAAAGAATGTTTCTAGATTAATTCTAAACTATTTTAGGTACTAACTATGCCTAGAGTTAAGGCAAACTTGTTCTACAAGACTATAATATAGTAATTAATATTATTATTCTCTTATATTTTAAGCAGGTTCTATACTTTATAGTAGTTTTAACTAGTATACACTAGTATATACTCTCTCTACCTTAGTAGCTAGATATAGAATTAGTTAAGAATATAGTTTATATATTCTAATTAATATTAATGCTAAATACTATAAAATGTAAGCTATTTTGTAGATATTAATTCTAAATTGTTTCTAAACTGTTCTAGCTACCTTTTTATAGTCTAACTAGTTCGCCTTCTACTTAAGGTAGCGTAGAGTTTTATTAATTAAGAAACTCTATACTACTTAGGTAAATAAAGACTACTTTGTAAGAATAGCTACTATCTAAAGGTTAATTACATTTTCTCTAGGCGCTAGCTTAGAAGAGGTTCTTTTTAAGAAGAGAGTAAACTATTCTAACTCTACTACTATAAGCGCTATCTAAAATATTTTCTAAACGTTTCTAAATTAATCTACGTAGGTATACATCTACTAAATCTTACTAGCTAGTAGAGGCTATATTATTATCTAAGTGTAGAATAAGTAAGCTAAACTACTTATAAAATAAAAGACCTTTTAGGTAGATATGTCTTTTAAGCGCTACTATAATAGTTAAAGAGAAATTCTTTTTACTACTATGCTAAAGAGCTATAAAAAGAGTATACAAATTACTTCTAAATTAATCTATAACTAATCTACGCAGTTGTTATATTTAGACGCCTTACTACTAACGCTAAGTTCTCTAAGATATACTAAAAGACATTTACTACCTTCTTCTAGACTATTAAGAAGCGTTTAGGTTAGCTAGTATAATAGTAGTATCTCTATATACGTAGTTTTTATAGTATTACTATTAATATAGATACTAAGTAGATAGCTAGTAAGTTAAATTAATTTATAATTAATCTACGCTTATTTTAGCTTAGAATTTAGAAGGTATCTTACTAGCCTTAACTAGCTTAATAGAGACTAGAAGTACTACCTTAGCTACTGTGTAAGATTCTACATTATTTACTTTCTTTACACTATTAACAAGGCTTGTTCTAGTATACTATATATTAAAGATTCTTTATAGAGTAGAATAAAGGCGCTACTTACTATAGTAAGCTAGGCTAAGTATTTTAAGTTATGTAATTTACTTATTAGTAAGTAGTCTAAATTAATTCTAGAACGTTTCTAAACTGTTCTAAGAAAATACTCTAATACCTGTAGCTAAAGAATAGGCAAAAAATAAAAAGAACTCTATTATTACTATAGAATTAAACATATACTATAGCAGTATATCTAGAGCTACCTAGAATATGCTAGAATTCTATATAAATGCTATAGAATAAGTATATATAAAGAGCTATCGCACTAGCCTAAGATATAAGCTTCTAGTTAGTATTAGACTATATATTAAATTAGTTCTAAATTATTTTACAACTAATTTTACACAGCGCTATATAGATAGATCTATAGAATATATAGAAATATAAGATCTATAAAAAGTATAGTATTAAGTATAAATTAAGGCAAAATTTAAGCCTAAGTAGCTGCTTTTATAATAATATAAGGTAAGAAAAGAGTAAGTGTTTAGTTATCTATATATAGATTAATTCTAAACTATTTAGAGTATAAGAAATAAAAGAAAGAAAATAAAGAGAAAGATAATATTCTTAAATTACTTAAATTACCTAGGCTATTAAGACAGCAACCTCGCTAGCGCCTAAGCTTCTAGCTAGCAGCGTAGCGCTTACGTACACAGATATTCTAGTTATTATCTTTAGCTTTATTCTCTCTTAGAGCTAATTTATCGCTAGCTCTATAAGTATAACTATTTCTAGATTAATTTAGAACTAATCCGCGCAGAGAACGCTCTAACCTAGATATAGACTTAGAAGAAGAGAAGCGTAAGCTTAAAAAAGAGTGTAAAAGAGCAAAACTTTAATAAGAAAAAAAGTTACTTTAAATCTAAACTAAGAAGGCTAAGTTAGAGCTCTAAGAAAGAGAGCTGTAGGTTTACCTTTAGCGTAAATTAATCTAGAACTAGTTAAGAGAAAACTAGACTAGTCTTAGAATAGTTAGTATAATTAAAGAGTTTTTAGCGCTAGATAAAATCTACTAAAATCTACCTTACTCTCTAATTCTATCTTTTCTATATTAAACATAGCAAGCAGAGTTCTTTCTAATAAGGTTTATCTCTGTCTAACTAATTCTAAATTAATTGCTAACTATTCTAGCCTACGTATACCTAATATACTGCTCTTACTATACTTCTACGTAGCTCTATAGAGTTTAACCTTAAGAACTTAGAGAGAAGATATATTATCTTCTATAGAGAACTCTTCTATTACGTAAAGTATAATAAAAGCTTTTTAAGTCTTTATAGTGTAAGTCTAATAGTTACCTAGAACTCTTTATAGATTAATTCTAAACTAATTTTAGTAGCGCTATAAGAGAAGATTAAACCTTATTAAATATATTTATAAAATCTACCTCTAGTACTCTATTACGCTAAATTTTGCTAGCGCAATGCCTTTATAGACGTACTACGCTACCTATTACTTCTTTTAAGAGGTAATAAAGCGCTACAACAACTCTAGAGTAGTAGAAGAGAATACTATTACTAAGAAGTAGATTTAAAATAAACTTTAGAATTATTCTCTAATTAATCTAGAGCTAATTTAACCTACTACCTAACTAGCTACTCTCTCTACTAAACTCTTATTAGAGGTGCTATACTTTGCATCTTTAAACAAGTAAAAAAAATAGAAAAAAAGTAAAATTAATTTCTAATTAGTTTACTACCTACTACTTAAAAATAATAAGCCTTTACTATATAAATTCTGCTAAAGTAGAAGATTTAAATGTAAGCCTCTTTTTACTATTTAAACTTTAATTAATATATATTTTACTTACTAAAATATAGCTTATTGCCTTTATTAATAGTATTATAATACTTCTACTTTTTAAAACTTATAGAGAATATAATTAAAGTTATAGTTTTATTAAATTTATTTTATATATCTATTTATTCTTAAATTATTTCTTAATTATTCTATAAACAATTCTACTATAGTTTTAATTCTTATTACTATTAGACTTAGAAGAAGTAGCTAGGCTCTTAAGCTTAGAGGTCTCTCTAGAAAGGTTATAGAAGAACTGCTAAGAAGTATATATAGCAAACTTATTATAGAAGAAAGTATAGTCTAAATTTTATTAGAATTAATTAAGAAACGTTTAAGAAATAATTTAAATAAAGCTTACTCTCTAGGTTTTTAGCGTTAAGGCTTTCTACGTTACACTCTTAGTAAGAGAGGTTAAATTTATTATCTAGGTTAGAGAAATAGTTCTAGATATAATCTATTATAAGGTTGTAATTAAGCTATATTAGTTAGAAACAATCTAGAAACGTTTAAGAAATAATTTACTTAAGTTTAATCTTTATTAAGCTAAATAGTATTTTAAGAAGAGCTATTATTCTTCTTCTCTTCTTTCTCTTAGCTAGAGATAGC